GTGGAACTGACAATATTAGTGTCCGCATAATCACCGAGTGCGCAGACGACTTAATTGCTCCTCTTACCAAGAGTTGCAACCTCTCTTTGAAAATTAACCTCTCGCTGTTGTATAACCTCTGGTGTCTTCCCGGAGAGGTGGAAGCAAGCGAACATCGCACCCATTTCCAAGAAAGGCGACAAAGGAGCCGTCAGATTGCAGAAGCACATCACTACTTCTTCTCTTCGGGAGGATCCTAGGATGATGATGATGAGGGTTGCGTATGATGAGCTACTTCCCGCTACGTCTCGCCTGTGTTGTACCCTCGTCAGCATGGTTTTATTCCTAGGCGCTTGTGCAGCACGAGCTTATGTGCTTACCTTCAGTCGGCTTGGAAGGCTATGTCAGACGGATACCAGACGGATGCGATTCACACTGATTACTCGGCTGTTTTTCAGCGTTAATCATGAGCTCCTAATCCTCAAGCTAAATGCTGATACCATTTGAGCGAATATGTACTACAGTGGTTTGCCTGACATAGTTCCGACAAACGTCAGTGGATTGTCGTCAACGGAAAAGCTTCCAGTTGGAAGCTGGCGTCCTCGGGCACCCGGATCACCTGGCTCCTCTAATTTTTTTTTTTGCTGTTCATTAGCGATTTTTCGTGCGTCATTAAATCTGGCTGACTTTTGTGTGCCGAAAAAGTAAAAATCTTCCCCAAAATTACGCCCCCAGCTGACGACCTGCTCTTGCAGAAAAATCTCGAACATCTGGTGGCGTGGTCGGTCAAGTGGGGCTGACCTTCAACCCTGTAAACTGTAAAAACCCGTACGTTCACGATGACCTTCGGGCGGGCTTCCGTCCAGACAGATTATGCTATTGATAGAAATAAGCTTGAACGTGTGTCCAAAATTAGGGACCTTGGCGTGACGCTGGATACCAAACTAACCTTCGCTTCACATGTCTCTGACAAGTGAGTAGGGGCGATCGAGCACCTGGTCGCTTTATTCGGTCCCCCAAGTCGGTACCAGGAGAACGAAATTCAACTGAAGAGCAGTGATAGCTGCGTAATTTGCAAACGAGTGATGGCTGCGAACGTGCAAACGTGCTAAACATCTTCCAAGGCAAACTGGATTTTGAAATCTTGCCCAGCTGCCTTCTCTTGCTTGTGACACCTCGATCGACCCGCACCGGAACTCTGCTCGCTGTACCTCGCACTCGTGTGCAGTCAGTACAAAACTGCTTGCTTTGCAGACTGCCAAGCATCGTAAACACTTTTTTTTTTAGCTAGCAACACTATCGCGGATAGTGCGACCATTTTACGCTTGATGTTTGATGGACTAATCAGCTAATGCTGTTCATTGCGCTTTCGCCTCAAAGGACGTAATTCAATTCACCAACTCTTCATGCGCCGACCATGTAGCGGTTTTGAGCTCACACTTCGTTATATACCAGGTTATATACCAGATTGTCAGCACGTCCGAGCATGTGGCGACAGCCCGCGTGGCCAATAGCCGCGATAAAAAGCTATGAGTTTACGGGAAGCATTCGTTCCAGTTTCAGGGAGGCGCGTTTTCATCAGATGGATGTTTGGAACAGGGATAAAGCAGTGCAGCACCGTGCGCTGCAAGTGCCGCGCCACACGTGCAATGGGATCGTCTGAGCGTCCCGGCTCCGCACCATGCCAACAAGGAGACTGAGATACATGGCGGGGTTTGTTGGTAACCAACTAACGCGCTTCAGAAGAAGCCTGCTATCCTTCAATTATGGTCTTTGAGTGGTGGTTGTGTTTCAGTTTTGGTTTTAGCTGAGAAAAGCATCCTTCTTAGTCGAAGGTGCTTGTGTCTAGCCACGTTTAGTTGCGAACGAGCATCTGAACCGCCCAGGCACGGCTGTAGGAGCCGGCACGGGTATGAATAAATCTCTTAATGTATATCCCAATGCTGGAGTCACGAATCACGAACTGGAAACGGCTGAGGACCCCACAGTCGACTGCTGAGGAGTTGGTGAAATCAGTTCTATCCTATGAGACGAAAGCTCAAAGAACATGGTTGATCATTCACGTTACATGAAACTAATTCATTGATTCATTTGAACATGAAACGGCTATACAAAACATTCCATATTCGGCTCTGTGAGCTTTTACTTGAAACACCCAATGCCCTTGTTCCGTCCCATGCCTAAAAATATGTTTCTGTTATGGCAAACAGAGCAATAATGGAGATTACAGAAATCGCAACATCGAAGGCAATTCAAATAACGACTTGAATGTTCAGTCAGGTGACGGCATGGACATTTAAGGTGACATTTAGGTGACAGGTTAGGTGAAGGTGACATGAAACGCCAAAATTGCACAAGACGCCGATTTTTGTCTAGCATGCTAGGCTGCGCGACAGACCCATAAGACAGATATACGCAACTTGTTCAAGAAAGGGCTGTCGCCTTGCTCTAAGCCAACAGTGGATTAAATCGGTTGTAATGGGTAAGCAACGGGTGAATGCTCGATGGACCAACTCATACCTCAGCTCTCCGAAAGCTAGAAAATTCGGTAGAAGGTACCGCAGCACATGATGAGTGGTGATGCTGATCCAAGCATGCCACAAAACAGTCAAACAGCTCGCACTCAGCCTCGATTTAGACATTTAAATTTTCCCCCTTGAGTGAGATCCAGCATGGTAAATGTGTTTTACTCTTAAGTCAGTACCGATTGTAATCATCTACCTCTTGCTTGCGTATCACATTGGGGCATAACAAACTATGTACTCCATTCTGATACCGATTCATATGCAATGACATACCCAGCAACTACCTTCGTTTGATAACTATGAACTTCGAATAGTAAGCTGTAGTTTAAACTAAGCGTAGCGTTTCAGGATGATGTGCCATTTTTCAGGTTTCCAGCTAATTACTGTCACCGGGTCGACGAAATTAGAATTGATTGCGGAATGACGCCAGGGAAATTAACAGTTGGAATCTCAGTCATTAAGTTATAAATAATAAGGAGCTATTTGGACCATGATTGGGAATTAGCAAAGTGGCGACGTGTGCTGCATATGCATTTGGACTTGACTCTGCTGAGTCATGATTATCACGAGCACTAGGTTGAAAAATCGCAGGCTCTCTTTGTGTCTCGTCTTCCGCTAGAGTAACCATGGTGTTTGACGACGATGACTGAGAACCATGATGAATCTGAAAACCTAATATCTCCTTCACCATTTCTTTACCAGACATGTGTGTGGCTCCCAACGTTGACTCCTAGTTCCCACTGTCCTCGTGCAATTAAGACCGTTACATGGTTCCGAGCGGGTTTTCACTAATACCAGCTCTGGTTTCTGGATCCTATTGGTTGTTTTGTGCACACCGGAACCTGGGTCCTGGTTCCCACTGACTTTCCAAAGCACAACATGGAGTGTCCTGGTTCCTGTTGGTGTCGTGGGTCAAACACCAGACCTCGGATTTTGGCTCGCCATTGTTTCGCATCAACACCAGAAGCAGATTTCTTGTTCATACTGGTTCTATCATCAACACCAGATCCAGGATCCTTATTCCCACTGGCTCCTTTACAAAGACTAGAGCCCGGTTTTCGGTTCTCACCGGTTCCTTACAAACACCAACCTCTGGTTTCTGGTTCACATTGATTTACTCATAAAGCGCCATCTGCCCATGCCTGCTCCTTATTGGCTCAATTGTTAACACCAGCTCGAATTACAATGCGAAAATTACCTTCCATTAAAGGCATGACATCCGAAACAAGATATGCTGCAAACTCTCTCCAACAGTTGCCTGCGCGATATACGCGGCATGAGTGCACCACGCACATACGCACTGGTGCCTGACAAGGATTCAATGTTCCTGCCGGTTCCCGAGATCTGGTACCTGTATCATGGTTCTAGCTGATTCTCTCGACCTTATACTGGATACCGGTTTTCGCTAAATTATCGGCATGACTTACTGTTCTTGTCCGATCTCTCAGCATAACTTCAGACGGAGGCTTGGTTTTTGCCGGATCCCTGCACATATTCCGAGCTAGATCTTCCAGGACTATCTGCACTCGGAAACACTACAAGATAAGAAGTTGTAGGTTTGATTTGCTTTCGGCTCGGTTCATGTGCAGCCTTAGTTTTTAGACTTAGTTTGTTTCATGATAACTGCTAAGCTGGACGTGCCCAAAATGACGACGGAAGTCCAGTAGTGCCAGAACAAATCCCGAAAATTGTTTGGTGCGGCCAGGGTAAGGTCTCAAAGCTGGATTGTCGTCAGCTAGTACCGTCAGCTCATTCAGCCATTCCACCACACATCTATTTTCACCTATTTACACCTGTTTGCAGATACACCTGTATACACCATGTACCTATTTACAGGTTAATGGAAGGACTGACGCAAAACATTATTATAACGGACGGAACAATTGTGCGAACTTTCGTCCTCGTCTGGCTTGTTAGTATGTATATCACATTTCGGCCACTTAACTCTTCGGCCGTCGTCAGGTAAGCCCTTAGGACTGGGCAATGGTTCGCTTTGAACCTTTACGTGCCATGAACCGACTTCTCTCCTCGGAACCGCGGAATTGAACCAGGGTCCCCTGATTACGAGACCAATGTTCTACCAATTGGGCTAACCGGTAAAGTACAGGGGGTTCTTTGGTTACGTCCGAAAGAACCGACGTAGAGCCAAAGCTTCACACAATAATTGCAACGCACAGAGATAGAGATAAAGTCCAACACAAAAAGGCGCATGGCTCAAGAGAGGACGGCGCAACGTTCTGCGTATTGTACTATGCCATGGCGAAAACCCGCACTTGCCGTCTTGCAATCTTCTCAAATCTTCTCATGCCAAGGACCACTCGGCCGGTGTGGTGTCCCAGCCCTCCGCGCGGGGGCCTCCACGGACTGCGCCCGCTGAAGCTCGCGGGTACCGGCGGGCGCGTTCCGCCGCTGCGCGCGGGGCGGAACGCGCCCGCCGCGCGCCGCCGCGCCTGGGGCAGAGCAGCTGGAGCGGCGGGGACCGCGGCTATATAGCGCGTCCGGACGTCGGGCCGGGGCAGTGTCGCACGATGATGCGGGTGCTACTGACGTTGTGCGTGCTGGCTGTGGCCGCTCGGGCCGTCCCAGGTTAGTTGGTCGCCCGGTGAGGCGGCGGGGGCGGAGGTGACGGCTGACCCGGTACCCCACCCGGTCAGGCGACCTCGAGGTCTCATCTGGTAGTACAGTTGCCTATCCAAGCTTTGTTATCGTCGGCTCAAGTCTGGATTAATCACCTCTCGACTTTTTTTGTCTCGCGATTCAACAACTTACGTGGGTCATCGTATTACGCGCTGTATCACAAGGATCCCGCCGCGGTCGTCAGCCATGAGTCGGTCTCACTGCAGCCCTCAATAGGTGTTTGCGATAGGTGCCGAGAACGACAAACCGCCCCGCCGTTGGGGGCCTGGTGAAGGATCAGGCTCGGTGGCATTGATAACTGACGGTGGTCACTTTCCATCCTCCACCTCTCTCCGCAGTTAATTCATTTGCTCTGCAACTATCAATCACGGCCGAAGGAGGTTCGAATCCAAGCAAGCCAAGCCACGGATCATATTGCTTATGGCGGGCGTATTAGCGTATCCCCAGCTTACTGAGTGCCGAACGGATGACTGCCCCAGGTCATATATATCCCCATCCTGCCGGGTAGAATTTAGATCCAGCCCAGATCGGGGTTTGTTCTCTAAGGTTGCTCCAATTTAAATCCACGCAGCCAAATATAAATAAGCCAAAATTAAGAAAACCACAATGGAAAAACATGTCCTCACCGAAACGAGCAATGAAAATCCATCTCCAAATCCAATCTCAATTAGGATCCTCAAGATCCAATCCGGCTAACTGAAAAAATCTGATTCCGTGGTCCTCGGATTGATGCTGTTTCATACTGCCAGTTGCCATCGATGTGACCGGGGGCGCTTTGCCAATGGCCTGAGCATCTGAATATCCCGCGAATAACCTAACCGCCGGTGTTCGACCAACCTCTTTCAACTGATGCGTCTCATCCTGACACCGTCTGTCTGCGCTTTGCAGTGGAAGTGGTGGTGCAACGAGAGAAGTTACATGTGTCACCAAAATGTAGAGCGTTCTATATAGCTGTTGGTCGTCATTTATCCGACGCCGTGCAATGAGGTATGCCCACTCGGGGATTTTGCCCGTCACTATTACTGTAGCGTCACAAAATTGCAGCTTGGCATCGCGGCACCGCCTGCATTACCGTCGCGTCCGCCGCACCGGTACACATGAACATTCGCATCTGGTGCTCGCCATATGACACTTAAGGGAGTCTTCTGAGGGACCATGGAAAGGGGATTTTTTGCTACGCTGGGTGTAAACAGCGAACATGGGCGTGGGAACCGAGAGCCCGTGTGCCATGGCACCCCCACTTTCTGAGAATGGCAAAAATTGGGTTTATGGAGATCCACTGAAGTTGACCGGCCTGCAATTGCTCAGAACCAACCTGGCGAACCTGCCCAAGGTTGGGCCGCTGCCAAAGGAGGAGCTGAGCGACACCAGGGTCATCATCTGGATTGCCGCGCTGCACCTCCGTACTGCGCATAGTGACGCACCGGGTCGCACTGGTGTGCGACTGAGATGGTTTGAGAGGACCAAGGTGGTGTGCTTTCTCATGCCCGGTAGGGAATAGAGCATCGTGGACATTGCAGTATTTTGTATTGCGTCAACCATGCCACGGAGCCTCCGAAGGTCTTGACGCATGACGTTAATCAATACCATATCCGTCACGCCACACTGCCAATTCATCGAACACACCTATGATTCATGATTCACCTCATTTGACTAAAAACGACTCTTGTGCACAGCACATACTTCATTACACACATTTGGCAAGGACGCAGAACACACAGGGGTGAGTGGAGAGGGGGACGCGGGGAACATAACTATATATTTTAAGCTTTAATTTATAGTTATGAGACATAAAGAGCCGGTCTTAAGAAGCCAAAACGTTTCTCTGCGAAGGAGCGGTCTATGCCCCAGTCAGACACATATGCATGCAAACCAAAAAAGAATATTACAACGATATTCACTTTGCACAGCGTATGTACAGTCGCACCTGTTCAGCTGCGCACCTGATAGCAATCCGCTCAGCCCTAGCCTGATAAAACCATCTAAGGTGCAAATGGATGCACGTCGTTTCCAGCTTCCGTGCGATCCGCTCGTTCAGGGGGGAAGATTTTTCACAGCAGTAGCTTCGTGAGGCGGCCGACGACATCGATGTCTCATCCCAAGACCTGGCCCGTCACCAGCTGGATCGCGACCTCGAAAACATCAATAACGCTGACGCAGACCGGCGGCCGTGCCATCAGACCAGCCCTACTGAACGTGCATATCCAACTGTTTGGCACACAGCTGAATGGCGCCTCCCAGGTCAACAGTGCCATGCTTGGGTCGGGGTGTTTGCACTTGGCCACCATGAACCCGGCTACGAAGGCTACGAAGGCCTCGAGCTCGATGCTAAAGGGAGTGTTCCACATTTGCATGGGGTTTTGAACTAAAACAGCCATCCTGAAGATCATCCGGTGCATTTTCACCCTAACATCCATGACGCCATAATAGCGTCATTCAAGCACTGTCATTACATTGGTTATGAGGCGATCAAGGCCAGTGAAAACATAATTGTCGAGTCGTTCATATCCGGGTTGCTATGCACAATTTCGAAATATAACGGACGCCAGTTGGCTCCCGATCAATGTTTTGAAAGGCATGATGACGCAATCACGCAATGACGTATGGAGGAACATGCCTACTAAATAGAGAAATTTTGTCGTCTAGAGCAGCCTTTTCCACTTTAAAGTACACCAATAGCTGTAAGTAAGCTGATTTCATCATATCTGATGCTTGCTTTAACACATTGAATGTGGACTATTCCCGCTAACCCCGTCCACCTTGTCGCCACAGCGGAGGTCATTTTGGTTCCTCTCGCCATCATCGCCACGCAGTTTGTCCTCGTCCAGCTCGTGAACCCCGCCGTCCTGGTCGACTTCGTCCAGAGCGGGCACTGTAGGCATCGCTGCTGCTTGCTAAAAGGCGGTCTCCGCGTCGTCCGCACGCACTGCCGATCCCACCACAGCTGGATCTCGGATCCGTGACACAACGAACAGTCATTTTGACTTAACTAACAGACGCATCAATCAGACCCGTAACACATGTCAGCAGTCTTGTCTGTCCTTGCGACAGGCAAAACGTCTTGGACTTAGGCACGCACACCCTTGTTTTTATACGCATCTACACTTTTGTAGTCCAGCGTGACATAACCCTGACCGGTGAAAGGAACGGTCAACGGCCTACGAGTACTGTGCTGCGTGCATCTTACCGATGTCTTCCACTTACCTTTTGTGTGACATGAATCATACATGGGCTGATCAAACCGGGCCATTTGGGTAAGGAACACAAGCAATCATACCCAAATATTTTATGGGTGTCCACCCAGGGTTGCAACAAACTCTGCGCCTTGCGCAGTGAGCATCCTTTCTTTGTGACAATATTGCTGGAATTCGTCACCATCTTTATCATTATCGGAAAACAAACGGCAATACATCCAGGCTACGGGCCGTGACAGTGCCTGGATCTGGAGGCACTGCAGGTTTTCGTTGGCAGACTGTCTGGCTGGCCCAGACGCTGGTCTGTGCTGGGGAAGGCTGTGCCAGACTCCAGTCGAACGGCGCGGCCTTGCTTGTTGGCAAACACCATCAGAGGTGATGCCATCAACAGCACTCACATCCTCTACTGCACCTCCAATGCGTCAGGTGCCGTGTGGGTGACGCCAGGAGCACGGATGTGCGAGGAGAGGACCTTTAAGAGGAAAGGGGCCTTGGTGGGACGGAATCATACCGACTTCAACATGCTGAGAGGAGCGCTCTGTGGCAACAGGACGAAAAGCAGCCGGCCTGGACTGAGCCCCTCCCCCTCGCTCTTCGCTGCACTCCTGTCCATCATCACGGATCTGTCTGGATGGCCCCGTTTCATGGTCCCATTTCAGTGCATGGGCTACCCCAGGGAGCTGGCGCCGCCGCCGCTGCTTCCCGACGGAAGAATACGCGATAGCAGTGGCACGGCCCCCAAGGCTCATCAAGTCCGTATTCCCCCCCCCCCCCTCCCCCCCCTGCGCGTCAGGTTCAAGTCCTAGTTTTTAGGCACAGCAGTCGCAGTTTTTACCGTGGCATCATTGCATGCAATTCTGGACTTTGCTGATCAAGAAAGCTAATTTGGTTTAGAATCCTTAGACACTACCATGGGCAGCAGCATGAAGAGCCCAACAGCGATTATTATTTAACGAGGCTCGCGTATAGCCGACTGAACATGTGCAGTTCGCAGCTGAAAGAACTGTTTAATGTGCCAGGACAAACCACCATCGATAGCCTATTGACACATTCGGTACCATTCGGTACCATCTTAAAAATCGCTCCCCTCCTGTCGCAAATCATGGTAGCTCCTCCCACCACCGTCGCAAATTCTGGCTTCGCCCCTGAACCCCCCCCCCCCCCCCCTCCCCCGTCAGTACATCATGGAAACCTCTGCTGCCTGTGCGGAAGTCAGGTCCACTTTGTAAACAAGATTATGGTTGAAGAATGTCGTTTAAATCCTGAATGGTAGCATTCAAACTGCACAGAGCGGCACAGATTCTGCATGTGCCAGTGACAGTGAATTGGGCTCAAAAGTATTATTGAATAAAGCGGACGAAAAGTTTGCTTTTTAGTACATCCATAGGCACTTAGGTGTGCCGGCGATGTTCAGTTGCATCGAAGGAGCTGCACGTGATAGCAGGCGTAGTTTCATATTGGGCACGACACTGGCCCTAACCAGATAGCCATCATCATAGGATAGACCACGACATTTCTGCGTGACTAATGCCTCCTAACGACGCAGTCGACGTTGCCATGCAACGCCTGCCGCGCGGGCCCATGCGACTTAATGACGTCATCGCGCAGCGTTAATGAGGCGCCCGCAAATGTTCTCAAGCAGTGATGATGGGCCCCTGCATTTATTAAGGTTTTACCGCCCATCTTAAATGAAAATTGCACGCGGAAGTGTCTTAAAACATACCTATTGACCAAGAAAATGCATTGCAACCATCTTTAGAAAACGCAACCTGTGAGATGTTGCCTTCAGTTGGTCTCCGAAATTTTTGCATCGTATGAAACAGGGCATGTTTTCTCCTGCCGATGCTGCCAGTAATAGACGCTACCTCATGATGTTGCAAATGTGTTTCCTATTCTGTGCTTCTTTGGACCGTTTACACTTCCCGGTGCTTTTATGCAAATGTATACGTTACGATACATTATTTAGTGCAACCTTGAACGTACCTGCATCAGACGAAATTGGCCTTGCGTGCGTAAACAAGCGCCCGCGATGGTCAAAACATCATTAAACCACCAACGCTGGAACAGGAATCATCCCGCCAAAAACACCCTCATTAAACGACCCTACACACAAAGCATGTTTTGCAGCCACCGATGCGCATTATTATGCGAGTAAATCGCATTGGAGCTGCGGAATAGAAGCTTCCGATGACGCAGGGGGCTTTGGGCCACGACGCAGGCGCTAACAAAGTGTAGCAAGCGATGGCGCCGGTAATGTCATGCGCTCCCTGTTCGGCACGCCCCGACGCAGGTGCTACCCGTGACTAACTCTCGCGCAGGTTTTGCCATGCGCTCACTCAGATGGAACGCCGCGCAAGTCATCGCATTTGCCGGCAAATTGGTACCGCGCTGTCATGGAAAACGAACAGCCAGACACAAAACTGCGCCGTTGGCAAATGAGGAAGCGGGGTGTGGTACGTTGGCTCGAAATAGGTGCGTGGACACTATCTCTATTTGCCACTGGTAGGTTCTGCCAAACGTTGTGATGAGTTTCAAGATGCACAACACAGCAAGCATGCCGCGCGAAGAGACAACCCAACAACAACGACACCGTGGTGATAATTGTATTCTCACCTCCGCCCTACCTAGCCACGTAGGGTTGCGGGCTGCAAAAGGATATTTTCAGAGCAGCGAAATGCCTCGGCCATGCATTGCAACACTACCCCACTGGTTCAGGCACCACATTTTGCAGCGCCGATAATCTACGTTCATCCGCAACATGCCGGATCCCTTGATCATGCACTCACTACCACCAATCATACTTCTTGGCGGCGCGTTCCAAATTGCACGTGCCATGTGTGAATGGGGGCACCGATGTTCTCGGGTGGGGCAGGTCGGATAAAGATGGGGCAGCTTAAATTTTCCATGGAGTCGCAATATATCTGACGCCAATGACAGGAGTATAAGTGGTGTAGAAGGGACTCTGATGCCATGGTTAGCCAGGGTTATATGTGACACCAAGGACAGTAGCATCGGTGGTGTAAAAATGACGCTGATGCCATTATCGTATGTGGCACGAGTGACAGGAGCATCAGTGGTGTAGGAGTGGCTCTGATGCCGTTATTATATATGACACCAACGACAGGAGCATCAGTGGTGTAAAAGTGACGCTGATGCCATTATTGTATATGATACCAGTTGCAGGAGTATCACTGGCGCGGGAATGGCTCTGATGTCGTGATGTTCATCCATAACCCATGCCTTACGTCAGCAAACGGCTTGGCTCCTTTCCTGTAAAATGAACGTCAAACATCAGGCAATGCCATTTCATGTTACCATAGTCCGTGGCATAATGCACATGCTTGTGTTTATGTAGTGCCGTGCGTTGTATCCTCAGTTCCGGTTATCTCATGTTAACATCGTCATCCAGATGAATCTTGCTCTACTGCCATTAAGCCATCTACCATCGGAACACACAATTTGACCATTCGCAGTCATCTGATTAGTCCAAATTATTGGAAAAACCCAGATCTACTGAGAAGGGTCGGTTGCGACAGCACAATCGGCACGACAGGGTGAAAACCTGCATTCGCGATCCCTTCACTCCACATTGGCGCGCGCGTTCCACGCGGTACACGATGCAATACACGCTTCTGGTTTATCTCTAGGCGTGGCAGTCACGAAAACATGGTTCATGAGATCTTACGACACATTGACGCACGCCTAGGGAATGTATTCAGCTCATAGGATCCCGTTAGTGGCTGCATTTATTCATGTGCAGACATTGATGGCATATCTGTCACTGGACCTTTCTTGCTCAAAGCCATTCTTCTCGATATCAAACATTCGTCACTAATTTAGATCGGGCGATTGCATTAGCTGAGATGTGAGACACTTGTGATAGTTTGTAAATTTCACCTGCAGTGGGGTTAGCTGTGTTGTGCTCCTGCGTATGTGTATTTGCACAAACCTAAACAATTGACAGTATTCCATAGCTCGGTCCACGTAGGTGGGAAGATGCATGTGTATCCTACATGCCTTGCTACTACTTTTTTAGCAAGGATCCCTCAACGTTACTTGAATAAGCAATTCATTCAACCAAATATTCAAAAATAAAAACCTGTCCGAATGCCGAACCCTTAGCAACATAAAGAACTTGTGATGCGTAGCACGTATTCCTGCCGGGCTCAAACAGTGGTATGGTGATTTGGCCTTTTCCGTTTTCCTCAAACTCGAGGCCAACAGCCATTTCGTCAAACGCAAACACAGCACACACGACAGGAACTTTGCTCGGTGCACGTGACGCCCGGGGTAAACGCCGCTGAGTGCCCCCCCCCCCCTCCCCCCCCGTCCGTCCGCTGACTGTCGGCGATGGCCGCCCAGCGCCGTCACATTTGTTTCGCGCCGCCGACGCTGCCGGCTGCGAGCCAAGACGGCTCGCTGTGTGTGCCGAGCGGTAGTCAACATAATGACCCTGGTCGGCCAGATCGGCTGGCTGGGGAGGCGCTGGCGCTGGTAGCCGGCTCCATCACTGGCCGACCGGGCCAGGTGGCTGGGCAAGCGCTGGCGCTGGTGGCCGGCTCCATCGCTGACCGGCCGGGCCGGGTGGCTGGGGAGACGCTGTTACTGGTGGCCGGCGCCGCCGCTGGTCGGCCGGGTCGGGTGGCTGGGGAAGCGCTAGTGCTGGTGGCCAGCTCCATCGCTGACCGACCGGGCCGGGTGGCTGGGAAGGCGCTGGCACTGGTGGGCCGGGCCGGGTGGCTGGGGAGACGCTGGCACTGGTGGGCCGGGCCGGGTGGCTGAGTAGGCGCTGGCACTGGTAGCCGGCGCCATTGCTAGTCGGCTTGGCCGGGTGGCTAGGGAGGCGCTGGTGTTGGTGGCCGGCTCGGTCCCATCTATATCCAGTTGTGGTCGCTAATGAGGGGAGATTGAGATCTGAACATCTCGCTTCAGCGTATTGTTCTCATTGTTTGACCACGCACCCAACCAAAACTGTCTTGTTTTGCTGCTTTCAAGGCCTCGTTTGGTGTTTGTCAATCTTTGTCTTTGCAGGCGCTTGCGCAATTCTGGGTGTGTTTGAGTTGTGTGTCGCAACGCCTTCTCGTCAGAGGTTTGCAGAGGGCGCCGCCTACCGTGTTTGGCTCATCTATCGTGACTGTTCCTTAGGCAATGCACATGTATTTGTATTTGTATTTGTTCACTCGAAGTCCGTCCATGAGGTGGCTTCTCATGTCTTCGGCTCGTTACAAAAATTGCTAGGTTCGGTTCGTTGACACTCAGGCACTAGTTGCAACACAATGCAGACAAATATTAAAGACGATGCTAAGAAGCACCCCATAAACTACAATATTACTAAATACACCATAAAGTATAATACTTTGAAATCCTACACTATGGAAAACGATTCTATTAAATGTGATTTAAAAAATACGGTGCTATGAAATACGATTATGTGAAATACGATACCACAGAATACGCACGAGATCGACCGATGAATCCAATAAACGTTGCTAATCACATCAGTGATGGCGAACAAAGAGCACCGACGGGCTGCTTAATCGTTCTCGTCCGAAAGACTCCGCTCTCGTTCGAAACATCGTGATGGTCATTTTACTACAAACAACACATTGCACGAACATTTCCTTATGACATAAGGCTTACAGTGGCCTGCTAAATAGTGGTCCAAATGAGTCTAAGAAACCATACCGGTGGAATCTTTATATTGAAAGGCTTAGTTACCCGTAGAACAGCATGTGTACTTATTTCTTAGCCTGGTCATTTCAACAGCAACATCAGTCGTTCACAAAAAGGTGAAAACCTTACCTGTTTTCAAGCGTTACAACAGGCTCCCCATATCAGGAAAACAAAGCCAGATATCTAGATATGTATATATATATATATATATATATATATATATATATTTATATTGCCACCCTCTCTCTTCCTCTACTTATTTATCTTAAGTGATATATCTGATGATAACGTCCAATTATTTGCCAAACAGGTTCACATTGATCCTGCCTGGCCTGAATTGATGTCAGATACGCAAATGAGCAGCTGCGCCTAGTTTCGCCTCAAGCCTAGTCATTCCGACCTGGCCCACTCCATCCCAGTAAAGAGCAAGACTATATTTTGTGCAAAACCGTCGTTCCCCTGACTTAACGTGGCATGACGTGACCTAACATGACATGAATTGATCTCACCTAACCCGTCCACCCCTCTTGGCAACGACACTAATTTCTGCCCGCGCTCCGTCCCCTGACCCGACCCCACCCAACCCTTCCTGACCCCTCCCCCGCCGTGGTGAATGTTGCCGACTTTTGGTGTCTTTGGGGCTGATTCGACCTGACCTGACCCCCAGTGGAGAGCGACACCGAGTTCTGCGCCGGCCAGACGGAGTGTCCGCCCGACTGCGGGTTCGTGTCGCGCAATGAGAAGTGCGTGTTCTGCAAGTGCGGGCCTGGCCAGCTGAAGCCCGGCGAGGTGGTGGTGGCGTCGAACGAGCCCTGCCCGCCCGGCACCGCGCTCGGCCAGCAGCTAGGCCTCACCAAGACATGCGTGCCGGCGCCGTCAGGTCAGTGGGGCGTGCGGGCGCGCCGCTCCCCGACGCCCGGGCCCGCAGCGCCGTAATCGACCGCTCGGGCCGAGCCAGGCGTCACGTACGGCGTGGGCGCGGCCGTGTGACTCGTCATGCTTTGCTTGGGTCGGTGGAGATGTGCGGGTGGTTTACTGCGTTCATGGGATCCCAGCTCGGTTTAGTGCGCAGGTCGAGTGTTGGACCCTGCGGCGGCTCGGGGTCGACCTAGGACGGCCATAACTACTGCGTACATGGGGCCCCAGCTCGGCTTCCAGCTCGGTTTAGTGCACAGGTCGAGTGTCGGACACTCCGGCGACTCGGGGTTGACTTGAGACGGCCGTAATTAGGCAGGTGACGGCAGGACAGCATGTTGTGCACATACATAACGCGTGCACTCGTGGATGTGTGGGGCGAAAATGGGACGGGGGTCAGGTTAAGGTTGGGTTAAGTAACGTTCTTCAAATCATTTGGATACGACGGTTTGGGCTAAGGCTTAAAGTGGGACTTCGGGCGCGTGTATTAATTCCATGATCTCGCCCAGAGGGTATCATTCCAATTTCATCATTGCGGCGGGCCGAGGCCTTGGGCTTGACCGGTTTAAGCACCCGTCTCATGATTGGAGACTGACGCACACGAAACCACGTTCGAAGCTGATGACTTCGAAGTCCCCCCCCCCTCGTCCCATCACAATAAGTCAATACCGTTCTGTATCGCTGGCCGCATGCTTGACCGGTCTTTTAAGTTAATAAATTAATATTTAGTGATTGCCTTATCCCATACTTTGGTTGGAGTCAGGTACACTTTACCACTGTCATGCTCATTTGTTCATCAGCAAATCAATCAAAATGTTTACTGTATAGGACATTGTTGTGATGGCGCCCGGTTGTGGCCTAAGGTCTTAAAGCTCTAAGTCTTAAAGCGTTTGTTATGAAAAACACCAAGAAGCCACCAGCCTCTCTCGAAACCATTAAGTTAAAATGTTTCATTTCGTGAGGACTTTAGGTTAAGTGCATTCCATCCCCAGGCTGTCCTCACGGTGAAGAATTCATCGACGAGTGTGGCAACGACTGCCGCTGCATAGACGACAAGTTCTACGGCTGCACTTTCAAGGGCTGCATGGAGGGACAAAGGAGTGAGAAGCCAATGCCCTGCAACGGAACGGAGAATCTTCCCGAAAGAAACCGGCGACGTGTTTTCTGTCACGAGAACATTGTCAAAGTGCAGGACACAGGTGAGGTGTTTGGTACATGAAACATCCGGGAAGGACAGATAGCGCCCGGCGCGTCCGATGTGTGCGCATCGAAGGAGACAACTGCATGTGTTACATTAACTGGCAGCGCAGGCATTCCAAAGTGAAGCAACGCAGTGTCATCCCCGACAATTCCATGCTATGCGTCGTTTTAGTTTTCTTTGCGTTTTATTTTCAGCAGCTGTTGGCCTTATTACGTCCGATGCATTGCACATCTCCACAGACGCAAAATGTCTATGGATCTTAGTTTGGTGGTCGCGTCATAAAAAGACACTATAAACTCAATTTCACCGAATACGCTTGTGTTTGATTTTTCGCGGATGAGCAAAGATGTGGTGGAATTGAAAATTTCCCACCTGATACCATTCATCGCCACAAGCACGGCCACAGCAAGTTTTTCATGGTAACTGCTCCCCATAAGGCTGCCTGAATAACTGCCCAAAACGAGTATATCCCACTTTATGAAGGTTTTTTAATGATCAATGAGCGCTAGTTAGTTATTAAGCTCAGATGTATCTGTACTAATTCAGTCCGGAACGACTTTTGCATTGGGCTGCTCCACACTGTGGATGAAATGCAATAACTGTGCATTTTTTAAATTGCAGCATATACCTTTCTAGGCCAAAGCCTTTATCAAACCACAAACAGGCTTATCGAACCACAAGCACTACGAATATCACGCAGGTTGAGAAACATGCGCTTGTTGCGGAAGACAGTTTTCTGTCAAAGCCAACCACGCTCCGCAGAGTGTAGACCTGTCCGGTGTGCTACTGAGGCCCATTTTATCTTGTGCGATTGAAAAGGAACCATTAGGTGGTGCTATGCCAAAATAATGTCAATCGAAATACAGAAAAACACTGTCAAAGTAGCCCTAAACTACGTCATATTGTGAATCAATGCGATCGTGAGGGGTCAGTGATAACGTAAGGGGGATTCCAGGTTAACGTTGTATCAGTTAAGTGTTCAAACCCTCCAAGGAATGCACTTGCTACAATGCACCAACATCGTCGCCGTATTGAAGGACGTTCGGTGCAAGGACTCAAAGGTCAATGCCATAGAAAGTCATAAGCTAGCCTCGTGCACCTTCACATTGTCCTCCAGTGAAAATGATGCGTCTTAATTTGCATCGACGTTGCTCGGTGCACATACGCAAAGCTAGGTACGGCCAAGGAAAAATGTGTTAAATCCGTTTGACTCAACTCGACTGACAACCATAAGAGACGCCGACAAGTAAAATAACTAATGCGACAGTGGTTGTGGCAAAAAAGTACTTTTTCTTTTCCTTTTACTGGTTTCTGGTTCTGGCCTTTTCTCAGTTTTGCCAGAAGCCAGCCGTTCCGCTCTTGATTCAGACCTTTTGTATCATGGTGCAGCCATATTCCGTTGGTGAAAGGTAACACAGATGTCCAGCAAGCATGATGTAGTAACTCAAACGAATCAGATCACACAGACCTTGGAATAAATGGACCATGAGGTGAGTTGAGATAAAGTGATGCTTACGCCCTGCCAAAGAAGCTGCTTGAAACATCGCTTGGATATGAGTCAGACGCATGTGTTGTTTGACTTTTCAGACTGACGACTGTCTTCCTGGTGCTGCATTCAAGAACGAATGCAACGTCTGTACGTGCGGCGATAACGGACAAGCCGGCTGCACTCTGAAGTTTTGCCTGCCGGATCAGAAACGTAGGTACCTGTGGTGCAAGCCAGACCTAGAGCGGAAATACGCACGTTTCTTACGTACGTACGTGTCTTACTTTCGCGTGCGTTTCTTTCTATGCCTTAGGACCCGGCCAAGCACGTCCTGCTGTACATGTGGTTCGATCTAGGTTGCCGTGGATAGTCGCAATGTCGGCTTTCCAATGAAATTCAATTTGATTTTGTGTGTATTTGGGTTTCTTAATTTACTTTTTGAACCTGTCATCCGGCACCCGGCCAAGTGTTAAGAAGAACATGACTCTCAATTGTACCGAATGATCTTCGAGAAGGCTATTTCAGTTCAAAACCCCATACAAATGTGAAATTCTCCCTTAAAGGCTTCATATAACAGGAGGGTCACTAAAGCCTAACTCCACCGCCACGACCTGATCCTTTTTCTGAAGGTCACATTTTCCATTCTTCAGACACACTTTTCTGATACAGTTTGATGAGAGCTTTGCAATGCTGTTTTCCCCGTGGGTATGGCCTGCTTAATTTACAGATCTTTCAGAGGCCTCAGGTAGGCCAAAGGTGAAAACCGCTTGGTGTCAATGCTAAATTTTCCTATCAGGTATTTGTTATTAATTATTGTCCCGGGGCCCATGGCCTCTGTAGCTTTCATTCGACTTTTTTCCATGACATGCCAAAGCTAGTCAATGACTACGATTCGTCGATTAGAGTTGAAGAACAGGAGGTTAGAGGAGGAGAGATAGAAGATTAGAGGTCTTCAAGGACTTTTGACCGACCATGCCCCATATTTGACACGCATGATCTCTGCCATTAGTTAACTGAACTCCATTCTGAAAATACCTTTCAGATAGCCTCAAATAAACCCACACGTGGTGTGGTGATCAACTATACAAAGCTCACATGTGGCCCGGCGACAGTGGCAAATATTCCAGTCACCAGTTTCTAAACTTAGACCTAATCTACACCTTGGATAGGATAAAGGAGCGGACATATATGACACGCAAGCTACCTACACACGACACAGCTACATTCGGCTATCAAATGAAATTCAGTTTGTTTTGTGTACATTTGGGTTTCTCAATTTGCTTTTTGAACCTATCATCCAGCACCTGGCCAAGTTACGAATGATATGTGAGGCCTCGACGACAGTGGCATGCCTTTGACGGCGTATGATGGGCACGGCAGCCTGATGAGGCATAACTCTCGCCGCAAGCAAAACCGAGGACAACAGCTCCCTCAGAGGCCATGATGACTTCATCAGGTTTCAATGTCCACCTTGCTTTTTCGCTCAGAGACATACCACTTCCCACTTTTTGCTGATATTATGCATAGATATATATATATTATATATGTATATATATATATATATATAATTATAATATACTATATATAATATTATATATATATATATATATATGTTATGTTATGTGTGGGTGTGTGTGTGTGTGTGTGTGTGTGTGTGTGTGTGTTGTGTGTGTGTGTGTGTGTGTGTGTGTGTGTGTGTGTGTGTGTTGTGTGTGTTGTGTGTGTGTTGTGTGTGTGTGTGTGTGTGTGTGTGTGGTGTGTGTTGTGTGTGTGTGTGTGTGTGTGTTTGTGTGCGTGTGCGTGTGCGCGTGTGCGTGTGCATGATCTGTGCCCGACATGGACCGGTGAGAACAGCTGGAACTGTTCAAAGTTGTAGCCGTATTTCTGTGAGTATTGGACGATCCAAATGTACATTGGCGAATGCGCAAGTGCTGACGCAAAGCAATAGTTTACGGGAGTCTACGGGAGCTTTTCGCAGTTACAAGCACCAGTTTTCACTGCGCGATAATACAGACCGTATAATACAACTTCTACTCTCCCATGGGGGAAAAATGGAAGTTCATACCGAACGCTTTTGGTGTTAAGGCGCGTGTAGTGTAAGCCTCTGACATGTTCTGTTTGCCATTTAAGCAACAACCTCTGAAAAGGTTTCGTCCAGCTCACAGTCATCATTAAACAATACGTGGCCCCGGACAGTCTCAGTACTCGTGCATATGCTTTTTATCATTACCGTGACTAAAGCAGATCACGAAGTAAGAATGGCATACAGGCGGGCTTTATCGGCAACATTCCTATCTGTGGACAAACTAGCCAACACAATTATTCCGATACCAGGAAGCCGTATGGTGCGTATGGCTGGACTATGGACACTAGTGTTTTGGAAATAAACCGATGACACGGTCACGTGACCTGGGACAGATTGCGGTCAACAACGGCAGGTTGTGTGCGAACTGCGCCCGATATGGGCCGATGGTAAGTCCTACAAATAATATCTAAAAATACTGCTGTTAAAATGCAGCAAATAAAACCCTCGCCTCATGGCAAGTTTGGAGACCAAAAGAACATCACCTCCGCGTGTCATGTTACAGAGTCAGCCTGTCAGTATGGCCCTGGTTTCATCGACGAGTGCGGGAACGACTGCAACTGCGTGGACGACAAGTTCTACGGCTGCACAAGGAAAGTATGCATGCCTGGACAGAGGCCCGAGGCGCCTGTGGAATGCAAGTCCGGGGAGGATCTGCCTAAAAGAAGCGGTTCACGGGTCTCTTGTCACGAGGGCATCATCAAACTGCAAAGCGCAGGTGAGGTTTTGGAAGTATTGGTGAGCGACTAAATGAGAAGCTCACGCATGTCGGAAAATGAACGAATGTATCGTTAAAAAGTAGCCAAAATAGAGGCAATTGCAAGCAATGCTGGTTAAAAAGCTGCATGAAATTGAATGACGTGACTCGCACCAATGTGAGCATCCTTTACCGTTGCAGGAGTTTGGTTCTGTCTAGACGTTGCTGATCCAATCGTTCACGCATAGCACACAGCCATTATGTTGAAAGGATAAGACCCACGTAAACGTTGCATTTTCAGTCAGCTCGAAGAAAATTGCAGTGTCTCCTTATCCATTTAGCACCTTTCCTTTTGGCAGGTCGTCACTCTACGCTCTGATAATTTGTTAAGTTTTGGCTTCAACTCAGCCTTTGTAGGAGAGACAGATGCCTTCGAATAAAGCATCATTCAAGAACAGGGCTGAGACAATATCATAAAAACCTGAGACGCTCCAGATGTGGCAGCACTGACGTTGTTTTGTATCTGTTGATGCTGGAACGATGTCTTTTAGACTTCAAGCTGGTGAAAAGGAATTGCCCCACGTCTTGGAATTCACGGTCCTCTAATATCCATAACAAACTTAACTTGGCTGGTTCATGGTTATAAACCTGTTCGCGATAAAACGTTAACACCACAGCAGGCACAAAGACAGAGCTGAAATAACCTCTAGACTTAGGCTACATGGCACGCCTATTGATATAGTTACGAAAAAATGAACATAAATAGAATGGCTAATATATTTTACGAAAGCCACTTTCAAAAGCTTAGCTGAATAGAGCGCGTGCCTTCCGATTCGCACACCCGTGGCCAGGTGGGTTCGAGTCGCGTTAGGCGCTCGCGGTGTACACCTGACTAACTTGGCCCACGACCAGGGGCAGCGGCCCTGCCAGATCCAGTCACGCATTCTCCATGGGTTCTCCTTCCCCGCATCCCTCCCCAAAAAGACACTGGTGTGAGAGAAGATTGGGGAGATGCAGTTAGTGAGTACTGCACACACGTGACTCTGTCCAGCTCCCCACTAGTGGCTCCGCTCTGCGCTACGTAGGATGTTATCCAGCCCATGTTCTGGTGACTCTGTCCAGCTCCTCACTAGTACCTCCGCTCTGAGCTACGTAGGATGTTATCCAGCCCATGTCCTGGTGACTCTGTCCAGCTCCCATTAGAAGCTTCGCTCACTGCTGCGCAGGATGTTATCCAGCCCATGCTCTGGTGACTCTGTCCAGCTCCCCACTAGCAGCTCCGCTGTGTGCTGTGCGGAATGTTACCCAGCCCATGTTCTGCAGATATGCCGTGTCTCCCGGGCGCCGAGTTTAACAACGACTGCAATCGTTGCGTTTGCGGAAATGCCGGCGAAGAGTTTTGTACTCTGAAAGGGTGTTCGGCGGAACAGCCAGGTGCGTACATGCGTGATGGAACACTGTCATTTCTTTATTTTGAGGAGATACCAGCCTCGCCGTCCCTCTGATACTTCCGCGCATAGTTTTACAATATTTTTTTAACGAAATTGAACTATGTGCTATTTAAAAACCTGTAAAAATATGTTTGGAATATATACATATATATATATACCGTATAACTAAGCAGAATTTTTTGTTGTACCGTACGTGTCTGAATATGACCGCTGATTCCGCAGTGACCAGTATTTTGTGCCTTGCGCGAGTATCCCGGATTTAATCCTGGCAGTATTGCTTGTGTTAAGTATTTGTCTTGCACAAACTCACTAAATCACTGTCGTAGCCTTTAGCATGGAGAAGGCGAACGTTCCTTGAACAAAAGTAAATATCCCTACGGTTGTACAACTATGTCCGAAATGTGCATAAAGGTATCTGCTATTAAACACACCGCAAAAACTGTAGCAAAGGCTAGTGGTGGTTCTTTGCACAGATACTTTATTACTGATTGACTGCATACACATTTATTGAGTAGAATCACAACTATTTGAACTTCTAACCTAAGATTATTCACCTTCTCCGTGCTAAGGAAACGCTACAGTTACACAACTCTGTCCATATCAGTTGCGCCCGCTCTACTCTTCCGACCATGATCAATTATCTTGAAACGTTGAATCCCAAGATACCCACCAATAGATGAGCGACTGTGCGAACAATTGCTAACCTAGGAGATAATGCGAAGACAACAGACCAAAACCTCGAGCAATGCAGACAAAGCATATTAATGCAAAATGAGCGGTCGTTTTCAACTGAACATGCATGTCAATATACACATGTATAGATATGCCTAAAAATGCCTCCCTTGCCATATATAGCTTGATATCTATACAGCGCAGAACATTTCAAACGCTTATTTACATCTCCTGTATTAGAGACTCGGTGCTTTCACAGCTTAACTACCTGAGTAAGATGACCGCGGCTGTAGTTGAAACCCCTACAAAATGAGTGACCTCCAATAAATTTCAAAGGCTTGAAAGTCACCTCGGACTTTTCTTGTTTTTCTTGGGCTTTCCCTCATTTGCTTGCTGAAATATCTGCAACTCTTGCTGCTGAACTACGCTTTGACGTCAGCCCTATCCAGTCGGAGCACCCTGCTTCTGCTCTTGGCTTTGCACCTCGTGAAGATGCCCGAGTGCACACAGCTTCTGCTCTGCCACGCTTCCAAAGGGCGCGGCCGGCCGCAGCGGCCAGCGAGCGGCTGGAGCCGGTGACGTTGCTGCTGGTGCCGCCAGGCGCCGTGGACAAGGGCGACACGGCGCTGTGTGAGGGCCAGACGGAGTGTCCTGCCGACTGCGGCGAGGCCGGCAGGGACGCGCGCTGCCTCTACTGCCAGTGCGGCTCCGGCCCGCTGGCGCCCGGCGAGCAGGTGGTCGGCATTGACGAGCAGTGCCCCGCCGGCCTCACGGCGATCCGCTTCCAGGCTTTCACGAAGGTGTGCGGACCCTCGCCGACAGCCGTCAGCTTTGCGCTGAATTCTGGACCAGGTACAGACTCTGCACCCCCCTCCGCACCGCGTGGAGGCCATCCACGCACGTCTCGCTCCCTGATGTGCGTCCTGGGGGCCCGCTCCTCCCCACACCAGACGCAGGCTGTCCGGGGTGCTTTGTCAGTTTCGAACGTGCAGAACTGCGAGCTAGCACAGCATGATCGTGCCGAAACAAGGGTTTTGATAAACCTAGAGTATGTCAGAGAGTCACTAGATTTTTGGCCACAGCCTACGCATGCAGCTTGTTGCTAAGCACGGCCATCAGTGGCGTTACCTTCCCGCTGGCGCCCAGCAATTAGTCTTAAAAACAGAGCATACTTGAAGGAAACGTGGTTGCGTGATGCTTTAGCAGCAATCACTAATACCAAGTTTAATCCCGCATCAGGTATTTGGACGTGACTTCGGTTTTTCGCCGGTACAGATCATAAAAAACTTAAGCGCGGAAGTTTTCCTCCATATCTTTTAATCTTCTGACAATAAACTTCTTGCGTCAGAATCGCATCGTTCGGGCTTCGGAACTGGCACGTCCACGCAAGACGATGATTTACATTCGAATAGCCATTGGCTTATTTTATTTTGCCATTCTGGCATGTATGGGAAATTGCCTTTCCTTAGGTCAGTAATTCATAGATATCACCTTCGTTTTTAGCAAGATATCCCTGATGCAACAATCCAGTGGTGTCAATTTTTGTAAATTATTGGTGGGCCGAACCGAAGGCTCGACAACCTAACCCCCCATTTTTCTCACCGGATTTAACCCACTTTTTGTTTGTTAAGCACGCTATATGTTTTTAATCTTTGTATAGTTAATAAAGTCTTTAATCATAGCAGTATAGAAGTCGTGCAGGGTTGAATCCAGGGAGCAGGCACTGGACGCACGCGGGTCTTCTGATCGGCACGTGAAGACGCCCCTTTAGAGGCCACCTCAGAGCCCCGATGGCGCTCTTCTATGGCGGTCATGGGAGACGGCACGCCTTTTGGTTGTGGGACGGGGAGGGGGTTGGCCGTGAAGGACTTAGGTCATCCCCATATTCCAGAGCTTTTCACGTTATCCTCACAGATTATTGCGCGTCTTATGGCGCTAGATATGTGAAGTTTGTTGCATCGTTTAACCGCTCGGCTGTTACGATTTGTATCTTGGGGCAAAAACAGACATGACTTTTTGTTATGACAGTGATAAAAGACGCCACTACGCAGAAAGATCAATGAAGAGATAGTCTTTGTGTTATGATCATCTTTTACCCACGTTTTTTGTAGTATTTAAGCCAAAAACATTGGGGGCCAAGCCAACATTGGGGGGTCCAACTGGACATTGGGAGGGGGAGGGGGGGGTTGGCAGGGCCCTCACAAAAGAATATAAATCGATACCCGTGCAGCAACCTGTGCTGCTGTGTTTCAAAAGTAATCGATGTTGTTCACTTACTTGCCTGACCCCCGACAGAGACATACAATGATGTCCGAGTATGGTGTATTATCGAGAATTACCAAACCTTTTTTAAAATCTGGAGGTACGAATGAAACTCACATCGATCTGAGCTCGGTGCAGCATTTCCTTCACATTGCTCAGTGGCCAGGCCCAGCCTGGGCAATGCGTTGTAAAGAAATTATATTCACCGGGGTCTGCACCAGTGAAAGACTTATGCACACAACAGGTAGACAATATTTCTATTTCCACTCAAAACTACAATTTTAAGATACTCTGCATTGATCACTTTCATTAAAAATGTAATCAAAAGTGCGAGGCTGCTTCAAAGCCGAAGACCATAGACGTACTGAGCACATGAAAGTCCACAGGGAACGTGACTTTCATCACATGTTACCTCATGTGTAGGTTATAAGCCTGGCAACCAGTGACGTACTTACGGGGGACTAGATTTCCTACTGGATACGGTGTTTCATCGGCTAGATGGCTGGGCCAGTGCAGCTTTCCTCAATATGAGTTCTTATAAAATATAATGTCATAAAATCCAAGAACGTAGTTTCTTCAGTAAGCTCTGGACTGACTTTTGGTTTTTAGAAATTTGACAAAGGTAGACTGGTGTAACGCAATGCATATTACTGTTCTATGCCAAGCATTTCAGTAGTGCTAAATTTGACATCTTGAAAAAATACATTGTTGTTGGCGCTCTCAGGGTAACAAGCCTCCACATAATTATAGCATGACTCCAGTCTTTGTAAAAATTACCTGCGCAGTATCGTGCCGCAATGCACCATGCAACGAGAATACGACGCCCAGCATCCCCTTATCATTATTTGTTTCAATGCAGTCAGACAAGGCACAGTTCGGCATGTTTTTGTGCCTGCCGACATAAAACGCTTGTTCAAGATTTTAAAAGCCAGGGTCTGTTCGAACCATTTTATTGCAGAATGGTTCTGAAGATGATTGGAAGTCTGAACTGCTCCATCCCGCTAAGGGACTCTGATTCAATCCTGGCGCGCAAGCCCGACGCGAACAACACAAAAGGAAGCGATTCCAGTGGCGACGCCAGCAATCTGGGGCAACTTAGGCGCTGAACCGGGAGCTGAATATCCAGGCAGATGCATGCCCATGTCCTATCGACCTCTTGGGTGCTATTTCTGCTTTCTGCGCCTCTCGCATTTTGTAAACACATTGCGGCCTGGTATTTTGTTCTTTATCTTGATTATGTTTGTCTGAATTCGCAGATGCGTTACGCTCGTTACATTGCAACACACGCACCATAATTATTAGTTTTCTCAGGATTATAGCTTTTTACACATGGCCTTCATATACATATACGGGTGGTGTCGTCGTCCTTGGGGCTGGAGTTATTCTTCCACCTATCTGCTCACCTTATGCCAATGATGAGCTAGAAATGCCAAATGCCGACGTCACGTGTTCAACATTGGGGAAATTTGGTGGAGTTAAAAGCGTCTATCATGCGCCAAAATTGTCAAACTTTAAAAACGAGGTCAAACATAGCATGTGCATTCATGTAGGTGAATAATACAGTGGCAGAACGTTCTGTGGCATTTAGACTAGAATGACAAGCAATCGGGTTCATAATATGTTTTGAGAACAAAACAAAATAAAGGATAGGCATATACGTGCGATATGCTAAAATATTTCAATCCTAGTGAGCGCAGTTTGCATTCAAACGCGCAGAACGTTTTGGGAGGCAAGAGGTAAATGGTTAAGAAATTTCGGTGAGTGTCAGAGATCCATGAAAAACACCAGCGTTGTCTATAAACCAGGTGCTAGTACCAGTACCGCTACCTAGTTCAACGTTGCAAGGCTCGTGCAAAATGACTTGCAATCCAACACTTAGGTACTGAACTCCAAAATCACAGGGAGAACACACGATTTGACTGATCTTAAAAACGTTTCAGCCGTCAGTGCCTTCTTAATCTGCCCAAAGATTGCCTCTGTAAAAGACTCTTTCCTATGGGCTTACAATGCTGTGGTTTGCCAAGAACCCCGTGGTGATGTCATGACCAAGTTGCCAGATAAACTTTGGAAGACCTGTCTTTCATCTGTATCCTACCTGTGTACTGTTTGGTATTGAGTTTCCGTGTTTTCTACCATATCAATGTTAATATCGATGCCAACAGAGTAAACTTCCCGAACAAAGATAACCAGATTTCGTTTTCTAAATTTGTCGTTCTGACATCAAATCTTACACTGTAGTTATGCATGTTCGGCAGGTTTCTTTCAGAGCCTCATTGATGATAATCCTATCAATTTGTTGCGGTGGCTTAAGAGCATGTCGTTTTCCAGTCGCTGGCTGTCCACATGGCCCCGCTTTCATTGATGAGTGCAACAACGACTGCAACTGCGTAAATGGCAAGGTCTACAGCTGCACCAAGAAGGCGTGCAAGCCTGGCGAGCAGCCTGAGAAGCCTAGGTCCTGTGGTGTTGATGACAATCTGCCCAAAAGAACCGGCAGACGTGTCTTCTGTCACAAGGGCATCATCAAAACGCAGAGCCTAGGTACCAAGCCGCTGCATGTCATTCATCCGTCTTCCATGTTTTTCACCATTTATTTCACTCTTCATCGGATGCCGTGTCGATACGCCTTATCACTGGATGCTTCGAAGAGCACATATCATCTCGCAAAATGCATATTGGAGAGATGCGTCATGAAAACGTAGTGGCTCCAGAATCACCGTGGCCTCGAATAACGTACACAACTGTTTGCAACGACTGCATGATGAGCAGATGCCTGACCTAATCAAGTCCTGTGCAAGGATATTTTCATCGGCCTGATAATCTAAAGAGCGGCGATGTGTTGCAGATGCACCTTGCCTTCCCGGTTCTGTGTACAAGGCCGACTGCAACACCTGCGTCTGTGGAGACAACGGCGTGGCCGGATGCACCCTTAAGCTTTGTTCAAAGGACGAGTCAGGTGTGTATGTAGGAGTGTGTGTCACCCTTTCTGGTGTTCTTCTGTGTAAAAACTGGAGTGAAATGAGATAAAGGCATTGTAAGCCTTCTGTACCTCACCAGTTCTTCATCGAAGAAGCTGCGTGATGGGTGCAGCAGTGTGTTCATCCTATCTTTGACCAATTAACACCCAGGTGGTAGTCGCGTTTCCTATTAAAACCCCATGTTCTAGCCACCACATACCAATACTTAGAATTGATATGCATAAATTATGAGGAATGACCATGTTGCATGATCACATGTATCTGACCACACTATATCTGTGCGTGGCAAAAGCAATGATGCATATGCATATCTATCCCCTATCAATGGTAAAAAGATACTGACCGCACTCGGTAACACACCGACAAGACCGTCGTCTATTGTTTCCAGACATGCCTACAGCACAGCGAACAGCGTGTGCGCGGTTTGGTTGAGGAAGACAGGTAAAGGGAAATTTCTGAGCGCCATATTGGGACATTGCGACTTATTTCCGCCCGCCATCTGCTGCTGGAATTGTGTACTAATGCCCAGCGCCTGTCCGCCAAGCAGGCAATAGCCGAAATCAAGTGCTTGTATCGTTTTCATTTGACTTAACTTAATGACTTTAAGCCAGACCAGAACTTCAGAATCGCATTAAACATACATTTGTATGCATACCGTTGTTATAACATGCTTCTCAAAACAAAAATTTGTTGTCTGTTTCTTGCGGTGGTATTAATATGGCTGTTGTAATGCGGGAGTTGAACTCACAAACTCGAAGGTCCAAAAGAGTAACTAAGACCAATTTCGAGAATGAAAAGCAATGGAGAATGCTTCCGTTTGTCGTAATCAGACACAACTGCGAGTGAAATCCAAACCTCTTAGAACTACCCAATTCTTTAGAAGTATGCCTTCAAAGTCATCGGAAACAGATGGGCACAAAATGCACGTTAATTTCATTCAAATGACTATGCCAGATGCCCCTTGTTTACACAGCAATATTTCTGTTTAACGGACGTTTGCTGGGACATTGTTCCGCAGGAAGGCAGCGCATCCGTACAGTGCGGTGGCAGCTTCAGCATCGAGTATTGAAATTGAATTCCCGCCCCGGGCGCAGTAGTTCGGATGCCCCACGACATTTATGGATATGCTAGATTAATATTCTTTAATGGTTGGGCTAAAAACTTCTTAGATTAAACCTTTCTCATTTGTTTTGAAAGAAAATTTCAGACCTCAGAACAAGTTCAATGAGCCTAGTTCATTTTTTCAGGCTTTTGATAATCATTTGACCGCAGATTCCTGGTGGAAAAATGAAATATCTTCTCTATGTGGGAAAGGGAAATATCTGTGCTAGATCAAGTGTTACAAATTGACCACTGCTTTTCCTCAAACATATAACAAACTATTGCCGCTAACCGTTCAGGGAAATAACTTTGTTTGCAAACAACAAACTCATTGTCCTGCACTGTCTGCTGTCATACATTTTCTTAAGTTTGAGCAAGACCAGTGGTCGAAACATACCGTTTTACCTAACGTAGATCTTCCCTTTCTGACCTTCCGATAAATCGCGGTCAAAGATGCCCATAAAAAGCTTAATTATAATTATGTCCTCCACACCAGCACTGAAACAAGTAATTGCTTTTGCTTTGAAACGGACTATTTCTAAAATGCACTCCATCCCCAGGCTGTCCTCACGGGAAAGAATTCATCGACGAGTGTGGCAACGACTGCAACTGCGTGGACAACAAGTTCTACGGCTGTACAAGGAAGGCCTGCAAGGCGGGGCAGACGAGCCAGAAGCCAATGTCCTGCAACGGAACGGACAATCTTCCCGAAAGAAGCAAGCGACGCGTCTTCTGTCACGACAAGATCGTAAAAGTGCAAAACGAAGGTTAGATGACCGGTACATTTAGGATACACAATCGGAAATATTCCATGTACTATGCATGCTGTAACACCGATGCGAATCACAACATGCATTTTCCAGCGCACTGCTCATCTCGTCACCGACGGATCATAAGCTGTGCACCTGCAGCGTTCTCCTTAGCACGACTTAAAAGCTCAGGTAGTGCTCATGGGCATGGTCTTGATGTGGGTATGTGGACTTCCAGACGCAAAATGTCTTCCCGGTGCTCTGTTCAAGATGGAGTGCAACAACTGTGTCTGCAGCGATAACGGAGTCGCAGGCTGCACTCTGAAGCTTTGCCTTCCGGAACAAAAGGGTAGGTACAGCCATAAATGGTGGTGAAGGTCGGCAAACCGCGCGGTTTATCTGCAATGCGATGAAGGGTAAGGCAGACAGCTGGGGTGTTCACTGAACGTAAATTTGGGCTAAATATGCGAATCATTTTCCAACGTACCGCTTCCTTTTGTTTCGCGTCACATGATTTCATGCCCGTGTCTAACGTGCGTCTTTCGAATCAACATCTTCCCAAATGAAGAACTTCCTAAAAGGCAGTTGTGCGTGGGAGCAGCGAGCCGCTATGCGGCAATATACGCAAAGTGATGAAATGTTCAAAGACGCATATATTAGGGTAAATGAGTGGTGAGATGTGTGCCGTCGAATTTACGTTATCTTGACAGTCATCTGTTTACTCTACTGGTCTCTACTGGCTGTAGATACAAACAGTAAATTAATCATAACCCCACGAAAGGATCTATAGACATCCGTTTTATTTTATTGCAAGGATACATATATACATTGTGAGGTATGCAAGTAACTTAGAATCTGCGTTTGCCGCAAGGTTTTAGAGCATTATTACGGGATATCTACATATATTTTCGGTTTTCCCTATTCCGAGCTGCAGTTTTCAGAGCTGCATTATAACACCGAAACACGATTCCTCCGTGGTCCTCGTGTGGCCTGCTCGCACTGACCTTTTTCACGCGCGTCGGATACACATATGCAATAGCCACAGACCATGCACCGCCCATCTGGCTACGTCACAGTTTTGCTGAATGCGTCATACATTCCGGCAGTGATCGCCGCTGTACACGTAGTTGGCGTTCTTCCGTCCCTCGTCCGATCGCGCTGTACACTCGTTTAGGTAACATCGCCACTCTGGCTTCTGAATGCATATTTAAATGTCTGCACTCAACTCGTCGTTATCATGTTTGTGGATGCTTGGTAGTGGTTTACGGGCTGAATATGTACACAAGCTATTGCAGATCACTTACACGTAGATTCAGGCATTCGATATGAGATACATCGCGTCGTGTAAGCCATCCTTCGTCACGTTGTTAGCACCCTCGGGAATGAATATGCATCACAATTGTTCTCATGGTGTTGCCGGTTTTTTGGCGTGTGTTCTACGCACGCAAAACGTCCTATTATCAGGACAGTTTTGACCATTTTTAGACCATAAGCGATGGCTAAAATATTTTGGGCATTGCAAAACAGCGACGATGCGTTGAAGCACCATACGTTTGCTCCGAAATGCAAAGTTCAGCAAAATGACCGCTTCCATTTTCGCGCCTCCTTTTCACTTCGCTATCAAAGTCACTCCCAAAAGTATTGCGCAGCGCATATGTACATGTATCCCAACACCAGATTCTATAACTCAGAATCTTCAGACAAATCCAGAAATAAAGGCTGGGTCTTGGAAAAAACATTTTGGAGATTTCGGATCTCAGCACATCCCTGGCCAATCCCCACAAGGATGATGGGTACGCGAAAGTTCTAAGGCAAACTGCGTGGAGCCATGCCGGGGACCAGAATGTGTTTCGGAAATCGTAAAACCGACCCAGGACCCTAGAAAATGTTTCAATGAAGCTGGAAAACTATTTTCGGCACAGACACTTATGATCCATTTGGGAAAGTTGAAAATACCCATGGTTCAGACGACATTTTGTCCCAAGCAGGGCAGCTAAAAATGTTTCACTCGTGTGAAGCGGTTTTTGAAGATCGGCCACTGACATTCGGCTCCTGGCAGACATGTGCGTAACAACGCTTGATTCGGAGTTGTCTCTGGCATTGCAGTGATTTGTGTTATATCGAGACACATCGATTCATTTCAAAACTCTTGCGTCTAAGTTAGAGGCAAATAGACCATACTGCCCGGAATCATCAATTAGTTAACTTTAGTGGAAGTGCAAGAGCAACTTTTGTTCTGATGGTTCTTATATGTGGATGAATTGCAACACCTAGGATGTCGCTAACTTATGATAAATACGTTTCATGCAGTTTCAATGCGTAAATGACTTACAGTACGTTCCATGCAGGTTCTTGTATAGCTCACAGAACAGCTGATCCCCTAAGCGGCTGTGACTGGAGCCAACTACATTGGATTCGGTCTGGAATTGAGTCATGTCTCGATTGAGCGAGATCGGAATCGGCTCCGAATCGTTTCGTACTGCTCGGAGTCAAGAGTGCGGATCCACCCCATGGACAGTGAGTCCAAACCAGAATCTGTTTCGATGAAGCCAACTCGGGCATAAGTCTGGTGGTAGGCAGCCTCAGTAGGCGTCATGCTGTTGTAGAGATATGACGTAACTATCACAATGTTGACAACGGCTAATAGACGACATTAGGCTTTACAAGTTTGGGAATTGAAGCTGATCAACCTGGCAAGCTCTTCAAGTTGGGATAGGTTATGTCAAAGATGCAAATGCTTACCAATGGTTCCTGGACAATACGGAGACAAAGTTCGAAGGATATCATTTTTGAAGGATATTTGAATATATTGGAAGGATGCTAGGAATCCTGAAGCATCTTTTGAAAACATTCAACAGGATTCGTGGTCCTAGAAGATGCTTCAACGTACATAGGAACAGATCCAAGTCCACAAAAAGTATCGTAGGCAATCTTGAAACGGATCGGTAACAACGGCTGACCTGGAATCAAGGACTCAAGATAAGAAGGGATCCAGCGATGAAATCTATGGTTCCCTTTTTTACGCGCAGGTTTGGTTTACAGGTTTGATGATATTCAGCGTCCTCCTCTGCAAAGTGGAATCGAGCTGGGGGGGGGGGGGGGGGGGACAGTGGGGAACCCTCCCCAAAAGGCTTTTCACGAACATCGTCAGGACTGTGCAGCTAAGCAGACCTACGGCAGGTCAAAATGAAACCATGACTGTTTGGGACGACAATTTCTAGGTAGTTGTTCAGTGTGATGCAGCCACAGAGTGGTACACGAAGCTAAACACATTTGATATAGGTTTTTAGACCATTAAACACTCTAACTGGGGCATATAAATTATTCCGTAGACCTTGTATCGGGCGTAAAGGTGGGATCAAGGGTGAATCCAACCGCTTGGTTACTGAAAACGTGCTTTGTGGGGCAGTTTCTGGCGCATGTTTTGAATTCCTTGACCACATCGACGCCAACATGCATCTTATTTCGAATTAATGAGAGTAAGGAGAGACCACTGACTTAAAATTTTTCCGATTTACCTTGCACTTTGAGGACTTTTGAGGAAGTCAGTGACCTTCCTCTAACCTTTACGATGTCAAAATAAGACGTCTGATGACGGCTCTATGATCAATGAATTCGAAAGGAGCGTCAAAGGCTACTCTATAGAGCCACTTCGCCAGTAAAAGGCAGTTTGATTTTGATCTCAGCTTAACCCTTATACCTGTCCAAATGTCAATGGAATTGATCGCATTCATAAACTCAGTTGTCTAATTGTATCACAAACCACCCCAAATATTAGGGTTTCGTCTAAGACTTCGCCGTCGAATCAGGGTGAACGATTTCCAAGGAATCGCGTCCGCAGGCAGCCATGGTTTGGCTTTGGCCTGTCATAACTCAGTGACCTTACACGGTACATGCAATTTTGTGCACAAGAACATCAGCAATTAAATCATCACAGCTTCAGGCATAATGTGTGACTTCGGCGTGCTGTGTGGAGGTTGTTCTGAGAAAAAATATTTGCGGGAGGGAAGGGGGGAAATTGATCCCCACTCGAGCGCGCGTTAGGGCTGGTTAGATGCAGATCGCGTGTCTTGTATGCCCTGGAACTGATCGCTGCCCTGCTATGAGCAGAAAGTTCGATAAATTCGTAAGCCATACATTTGGCAATTCGAAATCCAAGAGCTGTGTTTGTCTGTCTTCATGATGACTTCATAGTTAAAATTCAAGGACACTCGTGTTGAAACCCTTCAGAACGATCGCAGCACATGCTCATGCAAACATATATTCTAGCCGACTGTACTCTGAAGAGGCTCAAGAGAAGCACGGAACCTTGCCCGCCAGGTAGGTAACTCCCGATGCAGGCGAAGATATCCGGGCTCCTGTTTATTGCAGTTACCACGAAGACGCCGGTGTGGGCTTGTTGTTATTCACTGAATGTGGAGGTCGACGAAACGTGACGCTACGGAACGACTCTTAGGATATAGTTCGTACATCCCATGTACATACAGACAGATCACTGAGGTGTTGTGGGTGAGCCTATATGATAAGGAACTCCTACGCCTTAACTACATTGAGATGCTGAAACAATCTTCGCCACCACTGAGTGAGGCACGAGTGGGGTCATGGCAAGTTAAGATCTCACAGTCAAACAGACGCAAGAATTGCTTGCAACACGATTCGGAGAAAAGGTGGTTGACGGGCCTTTGGGCCAGAACGCATCCTCCCATCTCCAGACCACAGCGCGCATTCCATGCGTGTTGGAATGTTGAAGGAACGTGTCTACAAAAGCAAACAAGCCGAACGAAAGCCTTCTGAGCGGAAGAAAACGATCGCAGAAGGAGCGCCGGCAATCCAGCGGCGATGGGTCGGCACGTGCTCAATAGCTGTGCATGCCATGTGCTTTGCTCCATAGAAGGAGGAAGACGTTTTGAAAGTGACATCGAAAGGGAGATACTGTTAAGTTTTGGAAGCTACACACATGGTATTGGAGATGCGTCCACATAATACGAGGATGAAAACAGCATATATTTTAGAACTTTACGCACGGGCGTTGCGTTTGATTTAAATGTCTACGTACCTGATCGCTGCGGCCGCACACAAATGCCAAACTTGCACGAAGACAAGGATTCGAATTAACAACGTGAACTGTGTTTCGTACCATAACATAACACGCCTCGATGTTGAGATTCATAAATTAATGCTGGAACCCAACATCTGCAGAGCTCTGCAATGCGGGCGGCTGTTGCGAATGACCACGAGTTATGCCCGCAACATGCTTCCTTTTTGGACGGCCTTGTGCTTGGTTTGAAATCCCTGCACGACCTTTCGACGTTATGTATTTTTCTGACCCCGATATAAACCCGCCGCTCGATTCAAGAACCGTCTTAGAGTGAACGTGTGTAAGCAGATGTTGATAAAATTCACTCATTTGACATACGGCCACCTCGCTCGGCTGGCCGCAGCCAAGCGAGTTTCGCTGGACGCGGACCGCTTCAAACCGCAGCTGAACTAACTGAAGTCCATCCCCAGGCTGCGCGCACGGCCCAGAGTTCATCGACGAGTGTGGCAACGACTGCCGCTGCGTGGACAACAAGTTCTACGGCTGCACTTTCAAGGCCTGCAGGGAGGGACAGATGAGCCAGAAGCCAATGTCCTGCAAGGGGTCGGACGGTCTTCCCAATAGAAGCCGGCGGCGTGTCTTCTGTCACGAGAACATTGTCAAAGTGCAGGACACAGGTGAGGTAGCTTGTCCCAATGCAAAAGTTTCAAAATGCCGGGCACAGCATAGTCCAAACTCCGCAAGATGGCCAGATTTTGCGCTGCCGGTACTTAAATAACTTCTTTGATGATCTATGTTGGGCGCAAAGAACACGTTTGGGGCCCAGAACACCTCCAAATAGACCGAGAGCTCCAGGTATGTTCGGTACCACAAGCGTGAGAATGCTCAGGCTCATACATGTTATGAATGAGGGTGATGTGCATGTCAAAGAATCACAGCACATCAGTGCAATACGCCACCAACGCCCAATATCCATACAATGTCACAGACGGCAGATCTACGCGCATGACCAGATGCATTGTACCGCTTTACATATGTATATACCTAGCAGATAAACTGCTTGGCTTCGAACGTCAGCAAAATAGTACGATGCGTTGGTTGGTTGGATGATACCACGTGGCATGCAATGAATGATTCATCTGGAGTTGTTAGCGTCAATGAAAACGTCGCTTCACATGGCACAAAGCACGAGATCCGCAGGGATCTTGCAGAATATGCAAACATATGGTTGCTTCTGATGGTCTCAGCATGTTCTCCGATAAACAGGTGCTTAAATAAGATGTGATGCAATTCCCTGATTCGTCCACTACCATATAAAAAGCCACAGGTCTCCCGGTTTGACCACGTGCCGATTAAGGTATCATTCGTTCTTAATTTTCAGATGCAAAATGTCTTCCCGGCGCTGCATTTAAGAATGAATGCAACAGCTGTGTTTGCAGCGACACGGGAGTAGCTGGCTGTACTTTGAAACTCTGCATTTAATAAGGAAAAGGTAGGTGCTGTTACAATCTTGAGTTGAAAATTATGCTCGTACGCATTGCGAGGAAGGCACCCTGTACAAGAATTGTGTCTTATACTGAACGCAAATGCGCACGAAAAATGCAAGCGTGTTCTTCGTCAAACGGTACACAGGTAAGGTACGGCATAAGTCACTCTTTAAGCTTAACAGATCTCTTTTCAACTGCATTTATTTACAGCATGCTGAGCTCCTCCCCTTTGACACATTATTTTATCTCACAGGGAGTGGGACAGAAAATAAACAGTGTTTGCTCTTGATCCAGCCGGCTCAGCTCACCGATGTTGCATGCATGTCGTCACTGTCCAGATATTTCAATTCAGTGCACAATTGGGACTAAGCAAATGAATGCCTAACGAACATCACAATCACGTTCTTTCAGTTCCGCACTGCTCACGGGTAGGCGGTGCTGTTTCATTTCGATTTAGCCGTTGCAAGTTCGTTAGAACTGACGCGGTCCTTTGTTTTTCTGGTTTCAGCATTCAGACTGGTCGGAGAAGGCCAGAAACGGAGCAGCAGCAAGTCTGTTGGAGGTCCAAACGACAGCCGTCAACACGCGCCCGATAGGTGTCATACTGTACTCTAATTTTTACTGTAGACGTTTACAGTGTGTTAATTGATTTCTGGCCATAAGTTTACTCATGGGTGGTGTAGCAGATGGGTTTGAAACAAGCACCTTTTCTCATGAACCTAGTGCGGTTGCAGTACATTGTCCATTGCCCGTCGGTGCTAAGTAGGTAGCTTGTTTAAGGCTTTTGTAAAGTACTCATGATGTCCGACTCAGTTTGAGTAAGCTTTTCATAAATTTGCTTCTTACCGCTTTGGCTTCTCCGCTTCTGACGAGCCATTTTCTTGTTTTGTGCAAGATTCTGCATATTTAAATTAGGCGATGACGATCAGCTTCGACAATATATTTTCTCGAAAAAAGCATCCGTTTCATGCCTCAAAGCTGCAAAAATCGTATGTTACTCCAATGCCGAAGGCCTGCCTGATCGACTTCCGTGTCAGGTGGCGCATTGGATCGATGGAGATTATACCACATGTACAATGCTGGACATGCGTTTCCAACACACGCCGTCAACTCACCATGCGCCGACTGAAGACACCAATGCAACTGTCCTCAAACACGTACGGGTGGACATCAACGCAAAAAACTTTCAAAAATGGTCATTTATCAAAAATAAATTTCCCATGGCTTAGTGAGCTTAAAGAGCTAATATCACGCTGTGGAACATGAGGCGCTCCAAAGTAGCATCTTTCTGCCGCCTTTGGCGTTCAGATTTTTACTAAATTATCAAAAACAGCAAAATGACCTTACTCATCGTGGTGTTATCATTCCACTGTGGAAAAGTCCGCTGCTTTGTCTTACCTGGCACAGCAATATCAGTCTAACCGATCAATATGTTGGCATTGAGCATGAAGAACCCCATCGCCAGAATTCTAGCTGAACCCATCTGCAGCTTGCTGGTTACTGACATTAAACGCGGCCGTGGTTCAGGAGGCAGTGCTAAAAGGGGCCAATATTTCCTCGTTCATGTCGTATCTGGTGATACAGAGTAGACACACGTTTAGTCGTCCCATCATCAGGCCTTCCAACACCACTCAGACATCTTTTGTAGCGTGGAATGAGCAACATTATTACATTCGTGACAGATTGCCATCTGGATCATAATTATCGTAAAGATGACCAAAAACTAGGGATATGGAGCCCATCGCCTTCAAGCATCCACACGGCTATAGGCTACACATGCACTGTAACAACATGCTTTCATAAATTTAGCAGGCTGAAGTGCTGGTGATCTGAATGCAACCGTACATTTTAAAAAAAATGTTTGCAACTTTGCCCGGCTGTTAGGCCGGCATGTGTCGACAACTTCAATCGACGAAGCTTCCGATTTTGCGGTTGCTGGTATTGGAACTTGTCTCGCGAGTTTCAACAAATATCGCACGCTGGGTTTACACATACTCAAAGCTCACATGCCACGCTATAACCCAAGAGCCACACACCCGTCTAATGACCTGACACACTCCCCGACCCAGTCCCTCGCGCGGGCCGACCTCGCCACAGGTCACGCCGCGCTGAGCTCACCCGGCTCCAAGTAACATCACTCTGCACGCATTCGCGTGAGAGTTGGGTTCCAACCAATCAGAGGCCTGCTGCGGTCAAGCCGGGGCCAACTTGCGGAACAAGGCAGCAGCTGGCGTTGATTAACTCAACCCTACAAAATCACGGTATTAACATCCGACACTTGTGATCGAAGGCGGCGAAATGCTCACATTATTTGGGTGTATATCAGTCACAATAACGACATGTTGTCGCGGCCTAATGTATCCCGGCTTGGGGTGCGGCGTCTTGTATTCTGGATCGACTCCGGAAAATGCGACAATGACCGCTGTGCGGGCACTTGCTGGTGTACCTGTGCGTGGAAGAGTTATTGAGATGTGCCGGTGACATGTAGCTGGTAGATTTGACTGCACTTGGCAGCTGATTTCACGTCTTCAGGCGCTATATTGGTTAAAATCTGATGTGATCAAGTCCTTCAAAAATGCTTCAAGGACCCTAGTATACCTATAAAGTTACCCAAACCAGGTCAGTGCGTAGCTCGTCCATCCGAGGCTGCAAGCCAAATTGTGTTATGGATACTCTGCAGTGTAAGAGCCGTGCAGCACGCCATGACGGCGGCTGATGGGCAAACATGCTGATGTTTGCTTTGCATGCTGTTGAACATGCCACTCATGCTAGGGTTTGGGATAAAACTGCACAAAAGGTGCGTATGGGAGTTGCTCACAGGATAAAGGTGGTACACTAAAACTGCATAGGAATAAGTTGCGTGGAGTACAAAGTTCGTGATGCAAATACTGTTAATCGGAGGAGCAATTTGACCACGCACCGAAACATCAGGAAGCAAGAGAACTCGAAACGTATGTGAACGCATTCCTGACAAGTTTTGAGGCCCCTAGGTTGTCACCTTTAGGTCTAATAAGGTCAAACAAGGTCAAACACCAACCAAATTTCGAAGTGCCCTCAGACGTTCTCGCCCAACTGCATTTTAAGATAAAAGATCACTTGTCAGGTCATTGACCTTATGTGTGCATTATGTTTGAAATGAACAAAAACCTGTAAAATTAGTTCGACATTTAAATTTACAATCGGCGTCAGAACTTACCTTAGACGGCATATTGTTCAAAGCAAAGGCGTGATTGCGGCCATGTCAGGTGAGTCAAGTCCACTGACCTTCATAGGGTCAAAAAATAAGAATGTTGATATATATATATATATATATATATATATATATATATATATATATATATATATATATATATATATATATACATACATATGCATATCTATTTATCTATCTATCTATCTATCTATCTATCTATCTATCTAATATATCGAGATATAAGCGATTATACCAACATATTGGCATAGCATTGGCTACAGCAACGTAAAGCTTCGTAGTCATTCCCGAAAAAACCTTCAGGATAGGGTAGCAACTTGACTCCCCCAAACGGTGTTAAAGCTTCCCACAAACTGTCAAAACACAAAATTTGTGAGGACCGTCTAACGTCAGTTCGGATATGACGTCATGGGCCATGTGGTTGTTGTTTGTGTTTTATCTCGGAAGCTGATGTTTTATATCCATGCCGGAGCCTCTCGGACAGTATGCATATTAAGCAATGCTGCGTTACAGTGCTGAATTCGTTTTCAAATCGTCACCTAAAAAAAATTAGGTGTTTTAAAAGGTTGGGTCGTGCCCCTGCTTCGGAAATGGGCCCCCAGAGCCCAGGCCAGCACGGAGCCGACTGTTCGGTGTTGGTGATCTCTGGCCGAAAAGAGGAATGTTCTCTCAGTGGTCTCCGATCGGTGCATAAGGCTCTCTAACTGACATTTGAGATCACGGCCCTATGGCGGGGGTCCTTAATGCGACCTACAGCCAGCCTTTAGCCCTCCGATCGGGCCCTTGATCTTTGGTCTTAAGTGACCCTTCGGCCCCTTTTCGTATCCCCCAAACGCCGCCCCTGACCGACTGGAGCCACCTGCCGCCACACGACCCCTGTTAGGCACTGTGGCCCCTAACCGACACAGGTACCCCTCATTGTGCCAGGGACCCTGAACATTGCAAATCGCGAGCGCTTCTGCTTGGAAAATAGGTCTCAAGGATGCAGACGGACATGGAGCCGACTGTTTGGCTCGTGTCGAGGTGGTGTCTTGGTGTCGAGGTTCTATATGACAGGGATAGAGAACCCTAATGGGAGAAACCTAATAGAAGCCTTCTGACATGACATTTTAGGTCGCGGCATTACGGGTGAGGGCCAGGTCCGAGTCCAAACGGGCTGTTGATTTTTGGTCCCGAGGGGTTCTCCAGCCCCTCTTTGGGATTCCTCAAACTAAGTCCGTGGTCGACTAGGGACCACTAGCCGAAACATGACCTCCTGTTATGCACTGGGGCCCCTGACCGACAAAGGGGCCCAACCACTGCTTCAGTGACCCAGACCAATGTAAACATGACCCCGGTCTTGCTCCCGCTTGGAAAATGGCTCCCCAGGGTTCAGACTGACCGGGAGCCAACAGTTCGGTGTTCGTGGTCTCTGCCCGGGTAAGATACCTGCATTGTCTCAGGGGGTCCTCAAACGGTACAAAGGGACCTCTGACTGATATTTCAGGTCACTACCCTACGGACAACAATTCTTAATGTGACCTACAGCCAATGCTTCGGCCGCTATGCCATCCAACTGGGCCTTTGCTAGCCTGTTCCGTTGGGCTGCCCGGGCGCTCCTCGGACCTCATCGAATATTGCCCTTGGTCGTGCTCTGACCCCTCACAAGCACAGGACGCTCTGTTAGGTCCTGTGGGCCCCTGACAGATACAGGGGCACCGACCAATGTAAATCACTGGCCCCAGCTTTGTTGATGATTGGGAAGCGACCCTCAGACCCATACATTTACGGAGCGGACTGAGCGGCACTGGTGGTGCCTGACTGACATATAGACCCATATCCACTGAGGATGTCCCTGGATGACTCAGGATGATCAGTGCCAGGGGCGCTCTGGATGCTATTTGAGAGCCAGTCTCTGTAAGCCGGGCCCCTGATTAAGACACCGACCAGCCCGTCGTGCTCTTAGACCCTTCCACTCGAGCTCTTGATCGTCGGACCCGGTGGGTCCTCCAGGCTCTTCGGGCCTCCTCGAACACTGCTTCTGGCCGATTTGGAGCCCTTTGTCAGCACATGGTCCCCGTTAGGCGCTGTAGGGCCCCACCAATGTAAATCGCTGGCTATAGCTTTGTCCGTGGTAGCGGAATGGGCCCTTCGGCCTCTGAAATCGAGCCCTTAATGCTAGGTCGCGAGGGATCCTTCGGGCCCCTCAGAACCTGGGCGGGCACACGCCCCTGTACCTCCCCTCTGCCTGAGCTACTGTTTCAGGAGCAGGAACAAAAACCGCTTCTAGAGCTTCCAAATACCAAAAATCATCAAAATATTGATGGCAGAAAAAGCTCCGGCCAGGCTACCGATGCTTTCTGCAGCTGGGTGTACCAATATGGGTCCTCTCCCGATTGGTGATAGCTCATTATGGGCCTAAGGTGGGGTAATCCCCTCTCAGGTCTTTGCAGGCCTGGGAGGGAATATTCTCAGGTCTAAGAGAAAAATTGCGTCCATTCCGGGCTTGACCTGTGCCTTTCCTGAGTATCAAAAAATGACACTTCCCAGACCAAACCTAGGCCTTTTCTGAGTTTAACCAGACGTGAGCCCACCCCGGGCCTAAAAGATGAGAGCTGCCTTTTCGGCACATGAGATGCTTACTTTATCAGCCTAAAATACATGTCCCCTCATTAATAAGGACCCTCTTGAGTCTTTTATGGCCATTTCCAGATCCTGAGGGCCCTTTCTGAATCTACCATGAGCCCCCTCCAAATAAAAAACGGGCCTTGCCGAGTCCAAGATGGGTCTTTTCTGACTGGAGATGGGCCATTTCCAGGCCTAAATTCACATGGACTTTTGTTACCTGGAAATGGGGTTTTTCAGCCCTGTGACTAGCCCCATCATAGCTTGGAGGCGGTGCGTAGGCCGGAGGTTTGGGGGGGGGAGGAAGTGGAAGGGGGGGGGGGGCAGCGAGGGCACACATGTCTCCCCTTTGGTCCAGACGGGCCCTTAGGGCTCTTCAGGACCGACGATCAAGGGTCCGACTAGTGAGGCCGAAGAGTTGGCCAGAGGCTGTATCAAGGAATCCTAGCCCGTAAGGGTCCATCAGAGGGCCTCTTGTACCGATTGAGGCCCCTGGGGCAATGAGGGTCCGCCAGTCGATCCTCGACCACGAATTGTAAGGAATCTGCCCCGTTGCGGCCTGGGGCCCATTTCCAAAGCCGGGACCATGCTGGAGCCCGCGATTGCTAGTCGGTGGACCCTTTACATTGGTCGGGGTTCATGAGGCAATGGGGGATCGCTGTGTTTGTCAGGGGGGCCATGGTACGCCTAACAGGGAACCTTATGTCGGCAAGGGCCTCGAGTCGGCAATGGCTCCGTTTTCTGAATAGGGACTGAAACGGGATCCCGAATGTCAGGGAACCTCTTAAGTTGACCGTGTCCGCTGATGATGAAAGGAGATAGGATAAATGCAGATGGAACGGTCCATAATGAGACAATTAAAGGGCTTTCCGTCCAAGGCCCACGGGCCCAAGAACGCACGTGGCATCGAGCCTCCACTTCATTTCGGTCAGTGACCGGATGAACCGAACTGAAGTCATCTGCCAATTATTGGACCCCCTGCGTCGGTAAGCCATCCTTTGGCATCAATGAGGCCCACTGCGTCGATCCGGGATCAACTACTCCGTCCCGAGGGCCTTCCGCGCCAGGGAGGGGACCGATGCATGATGCATCCCTCTGCACACCTCCTGATCGACCAGCGGGCCCCAGCCACCGTATCTCCAGAAAAGACGCCCACAAGCGCCCCGGGTGGCAGGCTGGAGCGGAAGTCGCCTTCGACCCCTGAACGGGAAAAGCAATGGGGCCCCCTAGTGTTCTACTTACGGCTCCCTGCCAGCGAAATATGAAGGGTCTCCTTAGTGTTAAATCCACTGGGTCCCTCAACGAACCCACTTGTCGGCATGCTGACAGCAACTGAAGAAAGCTCGGGCCCCTCGTAATAAAATGGACAAAATCTTGTGATTTTCGGGGTGCCTTTTCACAAGCAGCCCTTTGTCCTGCTGTGCGCCGCCCCAACCCTTCTTACCAAAACTTTGGCCTCTCCCTTGGTATAAGATAGCGCTGGCGGGACCTAAAATAGGCTGTTCTTGGGCTTAAGCGTTTAGATGCGCCCTTTCCGTACATGAGATGTCCACTTTCTCGGTCTAAAACGTGCCATTTAATTTTTTAAGAAGGGCCCTTCTTGTGTCTACGATAGGCCCTTTCCAGACCTCTTTCCGCGCTCACGATGGGCCCCACCCAGACTTGAGACGGACCCCTTCTGAGTTTGCGATGGGCCTGTCCTGATCAGAGACGGGCCCTTTTGAGTCTACTATGGGCCCTTTCAGACCGTGTTTGGAAATGTTTTTTTCTGTTGATTTTCCTTCCCGTGTCTGAAACTGTTATGGGGATCTCCTGCCTTGAAACTGATCGTTTCGGGACCTGAGATGAGCTCTCTACACTTACTTGGATGGTGCACAAAAGGTGAACCTTTTTCACAAATCCGCCAGGGGCCCATTTGGACCACCTGAAATAGGGGGGGGGGGGGGAAGGTGGCTTTAGCCCTTTCTTCATACATGGATAAGATTTGCCTCGCGGATTCACCGCCACTAGCTTTCTGAGCCTACGATGGGCCCACTCCAGACCAGAGATGAGCCCTTCCCAGGTAGATGGACCCCCAAAGGTAGTCCTGCAGTGTGACCCCTCGAAAGTGACCGAAGTTATGCCTAACTCGGTGACCGCTGCTCGAAGAAGTCTAGAAATATGTCTGTATGGCCTAAAACTAGCCCATCAACCCAGTCTCATATTCTACACAAACATAAGGATGTGAATTGGACTTTTTTCGCTCCGTCGTCGCGGATTACACAGCGCTTCTGATTTAACGGCCTTATTTTAACCACCCTTCCCCTGGGCGAAAAACCCCGAACACTCTAGAAAGTTGGCAGCTTCAAAGTTTTACAACACTGACACGCTAGAGACGGGTGTGCGCACAACGCCGTGAGCGCTCTTGGCCTTGCTGAAAGAAGCCGAGCAGTCAGATTTTTGGTTGCAACACCCGTGGTTGGCAATTGTTGTAGTCCGTGTTGTATTTGAGCTTCAAGCCCTGTGTATGTATAGGTACGTGATAAGCGGTGTTTGACGTCTAGTCATGAAATTGTGCTAGCGATGGCGATGCTGACATTTGTAATAATCACGATTAATCCTGCTAGGACGCAACCGTGGAGCTGTGGGTAACTGGTCATCGCCGAGGTTTGAATGAGCTGAAGTAGGCCATGCCATAAAGGATGATGTATGGATTATGCTGCTCAGTTTTGGCCTTTTCAACCCCCTGTCCCCTTTGTAACGTAATGGTCAAGCTGGGTGAAAATCCTCTGCCTTCAGGCCTCGGGTAGCTCAGTGAAGTGTACTGTGCTGAAAAGGTAATGTTTGGTCACTTACTGGGATAGGGTGATATGAAACAAGATGGAGACAGTGCCTGCCATGAGAGGAATCCATCAGTTTGCAGTGTTAGGCTTTATCATGCTAAAAGATTGATAAACTCAGTTGCAAACATGTCTGTTTATAAAGACAGATTGTCCAAGCCCCCATTTATGCTTTATTTATACTGTGTCAAGCCTCCCCATCCTTTCTGTGTGTGATGTTGAGTGTGGATGTTGTGGGCACCAGTAGTGTAATGGTTAACGCATCTGCTTTAATCACTGCGTGTCTGGGTAACCAGAGGTATGGGGTTTGATTCCCTGTGGCGCCCGCCCTTCCTGCCAGGGTGAGAGGCAGGTGACGCCATATAGCCTCAGCAGCTGAGTGCGTCATAAAGCCCCAATGACATGGCACATGAGTGTGGATGTTCCCTGATTGGAGGGTACCTGGTTGACAATAATTTCATTAGAGGTATTGGGTACATTCCCTCAATAGGTATCAAATTTCAGATAGCGCGCAACAGTAGGTAAACATTTACAGATTGCACATGCGTGCATACTAATTCAGGTGAACCAACCCTTGCACCTTTTTCCTTAATCATGAAACTGCAGAATGCAGATTGCATGGTCACATGCATATGCCAGTAATACATCATATATATAATTTTATGAACTTAAATGGTGATAATATAACCAGTAAAAGGTATGCAAATGATTTTACAATAATGAAAAGGAAAGATAACTGGTCTGGTTTCAAAACAGCTTTTTACTAACTCAAACAGGAATATCAGATGGGTTTATGTTTCTACTCACCAGCTCAACATTGAAAATAACTGATTGACCATGTTTGTAAAGGAAAGGAAATATGCTTGCATTGTCAACACAGCAGTTCAGTAGTCTTCATGATATTTGGTAATGAATGAGTGACATTTCCAACCAGATATAAAGGGAAATGTTGCAAACTGGCAGCATTGTCTGACTGGGCATCAGATAAGCAAGAATGAAGATAATGCAAACTTACTTGTTTTATGACAGTAATTTAGTGGCATGGTTTTGTAAAGTAAGGGGTGCTTAATGGTGAAAAGTGACAATGCCTGTCCCACCATGAGCCAACTAAAACCTTCCCAGATTGCCCTGCTTCCTCTTCAAAGCTGCCCTGCCTCCCTCTATCTGAATTGGAAGCTATCCCCCTTTTTGCTACAATCCATGCATGATGCTGGATGTTTGAAGCACTGTATCCAGCAATGAGCATTGATCCCATGGGCAGATCCAGGATCCAATCTGGTTCCATGTTCCTGGGATTTTGAGAACTTTTAGCAGGCCCTAGCCACATATCTGGCTGTATCACTCATTTGCTACATGGGCATTAGTGCAGAGATGTATCCTTGCTGTCTCACATGCAATGTTTCCATCTATTGTCTGTTTGGCAGAGACAGTTTTTGTACTCTGAGTGATTGAAGGCCAAGAGAAAGGAGCAACAATGTCAGCTGTCAAGGAATTACAGTGCTACAACCGGGGTTGTGGCAGCAAATACAACCCTGATGAGAACAAGCAAGGTATGTGTATGTGCTGTCAAATGACTGCCATCATTTGGGGCTGATGTGTGTTTGTTTAGTGTCTCCAGACTAGATCTTGATAAGAGTGTCAAACCCATCCCAAAAAGCTTGAGTGGGGAAATGAACTGATCCAATGTTGTCCTTTTGGCATGGAGAGCTCTGTGCTGTCAGTGAAAATGGTGAGTCACTTATGGCAAACATAGACCCCTAAGCCTTTGACCAGCATGCTGGTTCTGACATTGAGCAGTTATGCTGTGGTCCCTTTTAATGTTCATTGCCTTCCTCAATGGACTGAATGTTTTTTATTATGGTTGACTGTGGCCCAGCCAGTATGTGAAATCACCACTGTCACAAATATATCAACAATAGCAGCAGTTAGTGGCCATTGGTAGCCCAAAGCCTGGCAGATGTGCACTGAATGGAATGTCAGTGCTTGTAAGAAATGAAGTTGATGCAGTGATATTGATTGCAAATGACCCTGACCCATCTCTCTTCATTGCAAAAATTAAAAAAAGTGGTGAAGTGAAGGATACAGATGTGCAAACCCAAAAAAGTTGCCTGTTGTTCAATATCAGAGTTTGTCATTGTGTGATTAGCAATGAGACAGTTGTGAAAATAGGTCACAATTAAATATATTGATAGTCTTCTTGCCAGTTTGGGGTACAATCGTGAGTCATTTAAAGCCAGGCTCACCATGCAGCCCAATAGCAAAACATGACTGTGTGTTGTGTTATTGAACTCAAGCCTTCCTTTCATGAAGCATTAGGCATGACTGGCTTGTTCAGTCATCTGAAACATGCAACTGCGTATTCAACGCGTGTAAGCACGTCACACTTGCGCACCCGCGATTTCGTGTGTTTCTTTTTGCGGTTCCGTAATGAAATATGCCAATTGGGGGGGTTGGCCCTTCAGTAGTTTCGAGATTTTGCGTCGATTTCCGGATATCTGTCGCCGATTTCACGCAAGCCGCCGTTTTTCGCCTCCCATGTCAAACCTGCATGCCTGAACCAAGCTTAGAACGCGTGCCACGGGCGCAACCTTACCATCTCTTTCGTCACGACATTCGCACATCTTTATTTTCGCCCACCGGTGAACGTCGTCACGCGCGTCTTGCGTAATTTGCATCGCGGCCTCATTATTGGCGCGACGTGTGCGAGAAAACTCATTGTTGCTGCCCAAACTTAACACGAGGAACGTCGTCACGCTAAACCATTGTATATTGCAGTCTGTCTGTTAAGTGTTCAGGTGCCGATTGCTTTGTGTAGTGCAGCCAAATTCGACTGGGCTTTGAGGCGGAGGCGTTCGCCAGGATTCGGCACCAGGGGGAATGAGGGTCAGTGCGATGAACTGAGAGTCCAAACTCATGTTCATGGAGGCCAGATTAATTATTGGGAGGAAATACGTGAGACCCCATCATGCACCACGTTGGGAAAGCCTTAGGAAGATGTGAACATGATTGTAAAGCTAGAACAGTGGAACAACAACACTTTTGAATCGAAATTTGGGGAAGCAAGAAATATCCATATATGCATGTAACCCGCACATGTACATCAGATGTTTGATGACGGATTTAGTCTTGAAGATGCAGTGTGATATGAGTGATGGGCGTTCATAATTGAATGTTGTGTTTGCAGACTCGTGCACATACCATCCTGGTGCGCCGTTCTTTCACGACGCCTACAAGGGCTGGTCATGCTGTAAAAAGAAGACGGTTGATTTCACAGAGTTCCTGAACACCAAGGTACGAGACGAGCCCGGTTTCACACCTTCACCGTTGTGGGTGTTATTGATAATGAACCACGTCGTGGGCGCGCAGAGTTCCTTCCTGCGGCTCTCCTGTGGCGGAGACTCTCCATGGAAAGTGTTCTGTCAGCCGTGGTCAGTCAGCACACGGATCAGGCACCGCCCGATGAGGTCAGCGATCGGCCGGAGCCGAGTCTGGGCTCGGTGCTGGCCCCCGCCGCTGCCGCCGTGTCTCCCGCAATGAAACGCCGCCGGATCTTTGGCAGGGCTGCACGAAAGGCTTTCACAGCGACGTCAAGCCGGTGGAGCCGGAGAAGCCCCAGAAGGAGGCGTCGCCGCCCTCCCGCGAGCAGCAGATCTTCTCGCCGCAGACGCCCAACAGGAAGCTGGAGCCGCCGGCGCCGCGCCCGCCCTTCGACTCGCCCATGGTGCGTGTCAGGAGGCGGTGCCGTGCGCCTCCGCAGCACGCTGATGACAGGCTGCGCCTTCTGCCCCTTTTTGTTCTTATGGGTGGCTGTTTATGGCAATGAGTGCCATTGTTTTTTGTGGTGTCCGGTGCTGTGCTGAACAGCGGACATCACCTCCGCTTCTTTGTTATAAGAACACATATGATCAGCTACATGTCAATGACCATATGTTAAACATGACAAACGGAATGTTCAACGAGATTTGGCCTCCAGTCATCTGCAGGCTGAAAAGGTTTTTCCCTTCCCTCCAAGCACATTTTCAAATGCGCGCAAATTTACGCTTGCCTCGGTATTGCTTGTCACTGTCGTTCGTGAGATAACCTGTCATCAAATGCTTCGAACATAAATCAAAAGACGCCCTGTACACTGGAACCAGTCTAAACGCTGAGAAACAGAATGTACAAGATAATACTGTGATGATGACAGAACCGCATATAGTGTACCCAACCAATAACGCGGCCAGCAACTAATGGTTTAAACACTAGAACTGGCGTTAAGGGTTGAATTCAAAGTTCATCCCGAATCATTCACTAAATTGGCAGTTTTCACACAAAGTGATTTTGTACACTACGTTTGTTGGCAGACGTTTACCAGATACACGACAGTCACAGCCATGGCAGCGTTGGCGGCCCGATAGGCGGGACGGCTTTTGTAAGGCTTTGGTAAGGCTGGTCGCGCAGGGTTTCGTTTCGGGGTCGCCCTGATGGTGCTTTAGCTCTCCTGATTTTTCCGTTTACCTACCCAACTATTGTTTCATCGTTTCATCGTACTCTCACACGCACGCTCGGTGAAACGAAAGGGCCAGTCGAGTTTTACGTATGCGAAAGACCGTTAGTCATCGGTTCAATGAACATATTGGAGACGCCGGCGTACAAGACTTGAGTTATCCTGCCTTCCGTTGGCATGCCAGCGCCCCAAGTCCCGAATTTAACACTGCTTTTTCGGATCGAGCTTCTTTGAACAAACCGTGATTACAACGAGACCAAAATTATTGAATCAATCTTCATAAAAAATTGAAGCCAACCCGAAACAACATAGCTGGTTCCTGACCTGTGGTGGCATTCGTTGGGTACAGACTGTATGTGGTGGTGTCACCATCGCAACATAATGTTATAATGTCTGTTAGCTAGAATTGGGTGTTAGGACTTTGCCATTCCATTCATCAACAGGCGCACTGGTTCCAGCGTATAGGACGTCTTACGGTATGCATGCTGGAAAGAGCTTTGTTGTGACGTTTTCTCGTGAATGGCAGTGACAAGCAATATTGAGGCTATTGTAAATTTGCGCGCGTTTGAAAACGTGCTTGAGAAAAGGAAAAGGCTTACAACCCATTGGTGGCTTTAGGCCGAAAGCTCCTTGTTCATTTCGGTTTGTTTTTTATATTTATGACAGTAGTCATTGGGATGCAGTTGACGATACGTGTTTTTATTACGATCTCCACAATCATGCTGGAGACCCTCCGCTCACTAAAAATAAAAGCTACCCTGACATAGCACAAAGCTGCATCGTCACGTGCTCTCAAATGTGCAGAATCTTCCCCCTTGAGTCGCCTGAAGGCCGGACGCTGATGACGATTGTGCGCCCCGCAGACCGAGCTGCCGTGCACCGTGGCGCCATCTCTGAGCCAGGCGCTGAAGCAGCGTGCGACGGACCCGGCTCGGCCGGAAGCTGCCGACGCCGGCCAGCTGCAGCCCGGCACCAGCTGCAAGAACGGCGGCTGCAAGGAGGTGAGCCAGCGGCAAACACTGGACGGGAGAATGTCGGTGCGGGCCGGCCTCGCACGCGGGCTGGTGCTGGGCGCCGGTCTCCTTAGCGGGCTGGTGCTGGGCGCCGGTCTCCTTAGCGGGCTGTGCTGAGTATCGGTCTCCTGAGCGGGCTGGTACTGGGCGCCGGTCTCCCGAGCGGACTGTGCTGAGTACCGGTCTCCTGAGCAGGCTGGTGCCCGGCGCCGGTCTCCTCAGCAAGCTACTGCTCGGCATCGGTCTCCTGAGCGGGCTGGTGCTGGGCGCCGGTCTCCTCAGCAAGCTGGTGCTCGGCGTCGCTCTCCTGAGCGGACTGATGCTAGGCGTCGGTCTCCTGACTGGACTGGTGCTGGGCGCCGGTCCCCGGAGTGGGCTGGTGCCCGACGCCGGTCTCCTCAGCAAGCTGGTGCTCGGTGTCGGTCTCCAGCGCGGACTGGTGCTCGGTGTCGGTCTCATGCGAGAGCTGGTGCTCCAGCTGGAGTAAATTAGTTGCCGCCAACTTGCCGTAAATACTTGTAACTTTGTTAACGTTGTTATCTTGTAACTAAAGGAGAGCTGACGCGCCTTGTAAAATCGGCAGACTAGACTGTGTTGTCGGTGCGCCTGGTTAACATACCGAGTTGTGCCATCTGTGTCAGACCAGCAGACCGGCATGGGTATCATACGTGTCATCTGTGGCGTGTGGGGTCAGCGTACACCGCATGCCACGGCTAGTCCTGTGTGAGGTTGACCTACCCCATGTGCCGATGTGTCGGTTTTGCAGACGTGCACTATCGTCTTTGTCGGGTCACTGCAGGTTGATTATACCAAATCTGTCAGATCAGCAGGCTTAGCATACCAACTTGAGGTCGGCGGTCATCGGATACTATGTGTTAATGCGATCGGACCGGGTATGTTACATGTGTGGGGTGAACAGGTGTATCATCCTGTCCTCATTTACTGAACCCAGCGTGCTTTGTGTGTTGAGTCGGCCACAGACCTGTGTCACCGCTGGTGTTAGGGACTGCCATCCGCTCCTCCCCAGACGTACGGCAGCTATGGCGCCGCTGGTGTGAGGGACTAACGTCTGCTCCTCCCCATACGTACGGCAGCTGTGGCGCCGCTGGGTGTGGAGGGACTGTCTCCTTCTCCTCCCATACGTACTGCATCTGTGGTCGCCGCTGGTGTGAGGGACTGACGCCCGCTCCTCCCCATACTACGGCCTGTGGCACCGCAGGGTAGGGACTGACGGTCACTGCGCCGCTGTGTGGGGACTGACACCCCGCTCCTACCAGGGCGCCCGGTTAGGCACAGACACGCCCTGGCCCGGCGCCGCTGGTGTGAGGGACAGACACCTGCTCCTCCCCAGACGTACGGCAGCTGTGGCGCCGCTGGTGTGAGGGACTGACACCCGCTCCTCCCCAGACGTACGGCAGCTGTGGCGCCGCTGGTGTGAGGGACAGACACCTGCTCCTCCCCAGACGTACGGCAGCTGTGGCGCCGCTGGTATGAGGGACTGACACCCGCTCCTCCCGATACGTACGGCACATGTGGCGCCGCTGGTGTGAGGGACAGACACCTGCTCCTCCCCAGACGTACGGCAGCTGTGGCGCCGCTGGTATGAGGGACTGACACCCGCTCCTCCCGATGCGTACGGCACATGTGGCGCCGCTGGTGTGAGGGACAGACACCTGCTCCTCCCCAGACGTACGGCAGCTGTGGCGCCGCTGGTGTGAGGGACTGACACCTGCTCCTCCCCAGACGTACGGCAGCTGTGGCGCCGCTGGTGTGAGGGACTGACGCCTGCTCCTCCACAGACGTACGGCAGCTGTGGCGCCGCTGGTGTGAGGGATTAACACCCGCTCCTCCCCAGACGTACGGCAGCTGCAGCGCCGAGTGCCGCTTCCACAGCGGCGTGCCGATCTTCCACGAAGGCATGAAGTATTGGTCGTGCTGCCAGCGCAAGACGTCTGACTTCAGCGCGTTCCTAGCGCAGGAGGGTTGCACCACCGGTGACCACCTCTGGATCAAGAAGAAGGTGCGTGCCCAGCCCACCGGTCCCTCAGGGATGTGTCTCGGGATGTCAGGCTGACGGAGGCTGACTGGTCTGCTTTTTTAGTTCTCCAGTCCTCCCCTTTTCCCCATTTCCGAACAAACAACAGCGAAAATGTTTATGACAATGTCTCAATTCTCATTGACGTTATCCCAAAGAGTCGGGCCAGATTGCAGGTGCAGTTTTTGACTTGATATCCTGCATTGGGTACGCAAAGTCACGCTAAACTGTCACCGATGATAAGATGACACTTGGCACCCAGGGAAAAACTGGTGTTCCGTTTCCAAGATCTGTTATGTTGTGTAGACCCCGGTCATGTGTTGCTCAATTCAAGGTGTACAGTGGCCCAAGACGTGTACCCTGGCGAAACAAAAAATGAGCTCTAAAGAAACCACGGCGACATGTCCTTGAATTCAGCTGTGGCGCCGCGACCTGAACGCCATGCTGCAGCCGCCTGACGCACTGCACGCGCTCGCGTGCCTCCGGCCGGCAGGAGGGCGACGCCCGGCGCACCAGCTGCCGCTACGACTGGCACCAAACGGGCAGCCACGTGATCGTGGCCGTGTACGCCAAGCTGGCCCGGCCGGAGCGGAGTCGCGTGCTGGCCGGCCCCGTCCGGCTGCGGCCGCACATCGAGTTCGGCGACGACCAGGAGTTCGAGGTGGACCTCGAACTGCGCGGGGTGAGGAGGCCGACCGGCCCGCTCGGCGCGGGTTGCTGTCAGAAGGGAGCGGTTCACTTGCAGATGATGACGCTGGTCAAAGACGCGAATGTTTGTTGTCATTTCTCCGGTTTCTTTCGAACATCCGCGTAAGTGTCATGTATTTGCCTGCCTGGATTTCGAGTCTCTATCGAAGGTGGGATGTAGCTCATGACCTACTTATTGAATATTGAGAGATTTATCACCTCGTGCAGTATCAGTTTGTTCTTCTTGCAGTCTTCCAAATGCGGATATTGTGATACTTTTGCCACAGTAGCAACACTGCCGTACCGTGTCCACCTTACAAGGCTTACCATGTTACCGCGCCGTACTGTAGAGACATATGCCCGCTGCTGCTGGAGCCTGTTGGCGCCGAGCACCAGCTGACCCGTCCTGTCCCCCCCCCCCCTCCCGCCAGCTGGTCGACCCAGCCCAGAGCTCGGTCCAGCTGCTCGGCTCCAAGGTCGAAATCAAGCTGAAGAAGGCCGAGCCGCTCTCCTGGAGTCAGCTGAGCGTGGCGCGCACCGAGCCGGCCGCGCCGCCGGCCGCCCGGCCCGACGCCGACCCCAGCACGGACGCAATGACGCAACGCGTCGACGCCGTAGACCTCAGCGGCTTGTAGGCGATGCCACCGGCCAGATGGTGACGGATCGGACTCCGATGCTGGACTCTGGGGAGGCGCACCGGCGGACGGAGCGGTGCGCCCCAGGCGGTGACGGATCGGACTCCGATGCCAGACTCTGAGGAGGCGCGCCGGCCGACGGAGCGGTGCGCCCCAGGTGATGACGGGTCGGGCTGGCAAGGACGAGCGTCGGCGAAAGCCTTGCTGACCTCTGAGCTGGCAGCCTTGCTCAGCAAGACATGCTCCTGCGACTCCCCCGTCCATGTTCACGATGGAAATCTTCATTTTATTGGCGCGTCTTTGCCGCATGCGCTTGGTTGTCCCCCTGTTGTGTAGCACTATTACACCTGACCATGTGAAGTATCGCGTTTCGTTATGTGGAGCAGCGTGTCCGCAGAGGGGCGACGGACTGACGGCGCTGGGACGTAATAATACGTTAGTACCTAATCCTAAAATGTCAGCTTCCAAACACAGAACAAGCACCGCCATCATCGAAACTGCCTGATCGAATGGCTTATTTACATGACACCTGCCATATCTGACGTCTGGAGCAGCGAGGCTGCGGAGTTCAACGAGACTAAAACTTTCATTTCATTCCGCGTTTAACGATGCTGTCGTGCGTCTGTGGAGCGCTGGAGACTTGGTGTGGAAGGCTTCGTCGCCGCCACATCATTGCCTTTTCAAAGCCGTGATGTGACGGCGACGAATGTGAAGAATACCTTAAGGTCAGGTACACTCCAAAATGTCGGTCATGCGCCTCGCACAGCGCAGATGCGGATGCAGGCTGCCAGATTTGCCGTGTGATCATTCGCTCTCGACTGGACTGCGCTCCCTGTATTCCGTTGCGTGCGCGTCGGGCCTGCGTTCTTTGAACATCATCCACACCACAGCCCTTCGCTCTATCGCTGATGCGCTCGCCACGTCACCAGCTGGTGTCTGCGCCTGGGCACGCAGTAGCACGATCCCGTCAGAGGCCACTGCCGGCGGGCAGGCACACGCGCGGGGAGCGCCTTCACGCGGCGTCCCTCGTCGCCACGCCCACCGTGCGCACAGCCAGCTGGCTTGGCCGACCACAGCGCCACGCGGGTGTCCTGAGGCAGACTGCTACGGGAGAGGAAAAGGTGCATTCATCCGTGGCACCTGCTGCGTTTGGTGGTGAACACCTCGATTTAAGGAATCAGAAAAATCACGTCAAGTCACTCGCCGGCCTTGTTCATATGCGGACAACGGGCGCACTGCTCCATGCGACAAACGCGCGTGCGGGGATGTAGCTGAAGCCGCCGGCGGAGATGGTGGCTGTGAACAGAGCAGTCACCCGGTCGCTTTGCCGGCGTGCGCGTAGGGCCCTACGCTTGTTACCAGCTATGAATCATGTTCTTGTTCATCGCCGTCAGCGCAGAGGCTTTGCACCTCATTTTAACGGACGAGACAACCAGTAGTTCCGCGTGGAAATCTCAGTCCATCACGCCTCTATGTGCAGGGTTCAATTCACGCGCCGAACACCGCTGGAGCGCTGGGGGGAGGGGGAGGGTCACCTCGAGCTGAACCCAGTCGCTGACACCGCGAGCAACCAGTGGGCCGACGACGACACGGCGAGCACAGCGAACGTCCCGCACACGCTCGTTACCAGCCCCTGCCGATCATCTACCCGGCGACCAGGGACTTCATGAAGAGCGCAGCGGCGGGAGACGCGCTCGGCAGCATGCCTCCAGCTGGGTCTGTGGCCTTTCCGCTCTCGCAGAGCGGAGCGAGATGACCGGCTCTCCGCAGACTCCGTACTGACCGTGCGTGCGTGACCTGGAGCTATTTGTTGCGAGGCGCCGGTGGGCCCCCGTGCCACCGGCAAGGCGAGTGCCGTCACGGGCACCCTGCATACATGCCGTCACGGATACGGTCCGCCTCACCCTGCCCACTGTTCCCGAGTGGCCGCCGGCTAGCTTGGACGGCTAGCCTCGCCCCCGGCCAGCTGCGCTGAGGCTGCGCTGGGCAAGACGCGTCCTACCCAAAACATTACTGTCACAATGTTATTCTCATTTTATTGGCAATATAAGCTATTGAATGTAATCGACGCACCTCACGGGTTGTCTAAGAACCTCGACATGGACACAAAACCTCTGTGGTAGGCGTCCCGCGGAGCGCAGACAGCCGATCGGCGAGCGCCCGGTCCCCGCCAGGGCAGCCGACGACCCCGACGACGACGCCCGTCTGAACGGCCACGTGGCCGTCAACACACCCAAAGTTGGCAATGTTTATTTATAAGTAAAGACGTGAAAAAGAGGGTGTAAAAATCACCAAGATCAACAGTCTGCGGAGCGGTTGGCAAGGTACCGGGAGACGAAGAGAAGGCACAAGATGTCCACGGAAGCCCGCTGCCGCCGGCCTCGCGCGGCGCGCGGCGCGCGGGCACGCGGCCGCGCGCCGGCTCGTCCGGCGGTCTGGCGTGGGTCGGAGGGGCGAGGGAGGGGCGGCGCCGGCAGTGCGACGCCGCCGGCACGGTTGGCACATGACGGAAGCGGCGCAGAGACGGCGGCGGCGGCGGCCCGCGCCCGGCGCCGCGCGCACACTACCAACGGCATTAACATTATGACAAAATATGAACTCTGTATATATAGATATAGGCATATGCGTCTATGCTTGTGAGCGGGCGTCGCGGGACGGGACGGGCGGGCGCCGCGCGGCAGCCCGAGTGCCCGCCGGGCGGCCGGGCTGACTAGTGGGGCTGCCGGCGCCCGCCGCCCCGCCGGCCGCTGCCGCTCGCCGCCACACCAGACGCACGCGCCGGGCTCGGGGCGCGCCCGGCCCATCACGAGCGGCGCCGCGGCCGCGCCTGCCTCAGATCTCTCCCAATACAAATAAATTATCTCAACAACACATCAGCAACGGATTGCAGCGAGTCGGCGGCCGCGGCTGGCCGGGCGGCGAGGAGCTGACGGCTCGGCGCGCGACGTCACACGTACACCGGGTCGTCCACCATGCGCTGCGGCTGCGACGGCCCGTAGCCGTCGAAGAAGCGTCTGAAGGTGAACTCGAAGAAGCCCGGGTGCTCCGAGTCGTCGCCGGCGCCGGCGTTGGCCTGCGAGCCGTACTCGGAGTCCGAGTCCGAGTCCGAGTCCCGCTGCCGGTCGCTGTCGACCGGGTCGAAGTTGCTCGTGTCGGTCGGGTAGCGGATCTTGGGCACGTACGGCGCGCGCATCCGACGCACGCCCTTCTCGAAGTCGATGCTGGCGAAGAACGGGTGCGCCTTGACCTCGGCGGCGCCGTTCTTGCCGAGCCGCCGCTCGGGTCCGGTCAGCAGGCGGAGGATCAGCTCGCGGGCCTCGCCGCTCATGCGCGCCTGCTTCGGGATCTTGAGCGTCGTCTCGAAGTTGATCACCTGCGCGGGTGGGGAGGCGGTCACGTCACGTCACGGCACGGCACGGCACGGCACGACACGACACGACACGACACGGCACGGCACGGCACGGCACGGCACGGCACGGCACGGCATGGCACGGCACGGCACGGCACGGCACGGCACGGCACGGCACGACCAGCTGGAGTAACATGGCCGGTGGATACCGGGCTGACAAGACGCCGGTCTGACTGATGACTAGCCGGTCCTAGATGTCGTTACACTCGGCTCAGTCGCCGGCACCAGGACGGCAAATCCACTGATCATGAGCCTCGGGGGCGAGCGAGGGCCTCCTAAACGTAACAGCTATTTAGGAGAGGCGCACCGTATGAAGAACCCACCATGATGTCAAGACTACATGCAAGCCATCGAAAACCGGCAACCGGCGTCCCGTAACGGCATCCCACGCTCGCTCGCATCACCTATCTCGCATGATCCAAGGTCTGGCCCTTGTTCTTTTCTCCAATGGCGCAGTGGGGCGGTGGTGGTGGTGGTGGTGGTGGTGGTGGTGGTGGTGGGGGCTTACACCTCTGCTGGGAGCCACAGTGCTCTGCGGTGTGATTGACCGGTCCAGAGTGCTGGGCCCTGCGCTGCCATCCCGCCGGCACCGGCCAGTCTGCGTCTGCAGCGGCGGCGGCGGCGACCGCCCGGGGCCCGGCCTGCTCACCTTGTACTGCGTGTCGGCCGGCATGGAAGCCAGGAACGGTGGCTGGCCGACCAGCATCTCGTACAGAATGACGCCGACGCTCCACCAGTCACACAACTGCGTATAGCCTGTCCTCATCAGCACCTGGTGGCGGCAGGGGGGCGGTTCTCATCAGTACCTGGCGGCGGCGGGGAGGGCTTTCTCATCAGCACTTGGCGGGGGCGGGGAGGGTTCTCATCCACACCTGGCGGCGGCAGGGGAGGGGTCGGTCGAAGATGGCGGCACCGACGCCGGCCCCGGCTATAGACGGCACTGGCGTCTCAACGACGGCACACTGCAGACCCACACGGCACGCATTGGAGCCATGCCTTGATGGATAGTACGACAAAGAAAGTGCTGAATTAAAATAGACGCACATACCAAACCCGGTAACTGGCCGCGGGGGTTGAGAAGCTGCTGCAAAATACATGCGCACGAATTTGGAACAACGATTGAGGATCCATAAACACGCTCTGCGAACCATACGGCCACGGGAACAAATAACTCAGGCATTAAATGTACTAACTCATTTTATTTAACAATAATGCCTGCGTTATTGCACGTATTTACAAAAAAAGAAAACAAGCGGGATCCCTTTCGCTATGGGAGGATCGCTACATGTCCCGGAGAAGTCGTCAGAAGTCCTGGACAACCAGTAAAGTGGAAAAACGACTAATTAATTATGTTAGAGATAATTCATAGCTATGATACCCATGGCTCCCTTCCACGATTTCAGCATTTAAAAGGCAAGCAAAGTAGCGCCCAGCATTCCTTCAGGGCAACTGCACCATTCGGCAAGACCTGGGGAAACTTCCGAAGACCCAGAGGACCTTGCTAAATTTACCAAGATCTTTCGAAATTGGTTTTGTTCTTGGGTTCCTGGAATCAATGTAAATCGATCTTATATTATTTACAAGGATGGACAACACAAATTCTACTCCACATGCAAAATTAAAACTCATTTTGGGGCCTGGCGTTAATTCTAGCAATCAGCTAATCCCGAGATTGGCTGGCCGGCTGGCGACCCGACCCGGGATGGGTCGCCGCCGATCCGAGAACCGGCTAGTCGCAACCAGCCTCGCTCGTAGTCACAAACTTGGAAGCCAAATAGCCGCTGTTACCGGGCCAGCCGGCCACCGACCAGACAACGGCTAGCCGCGACCAACCTTGCCTTGGCAACACGACCTGTTTTTGAGCCACTTACTTCTGAGTGGGATTAGCTAACCACTTCAGGGATTAAGTGACCATGCGACTGAGTACAACCTTTCGGCCTCGGACCCTCCAACCCGGACAGATTGCGGCTTCTTCACGGGCTCGACGCCGCAGATTCAGCCATCTACGTACTCAAAACTTGGGATTTTTTTCCATTCTGAAGACTACAATTTCCTATCGCATCGTGCTGGTACTGTGGGGAAGTTTCAATCAGTCTCACGTAATTGCACAAACTGTTAACCACCGAGTTACTTCCCCTGGCCTCCGAACACCTGCCGGCTGCACCCGTCCTCTTCCCGACCAAGGCAGGATTCGACTTGGCGGCACAGTTGCTCTCCGCGCTTGACCACCGCCACCATCTGTCATTCTCGGGGACGGTCTCGAACCATTTGAAGACATCGTGAGCACCTGATGAGCTTGCGAGAATGCTATGACAGGCCGCACGTACACTAAAAGAGCGCAGGCGCGCAGGCTCCGTTCCTCAGCGCTGCGGCCCGAGCTCCGCCACCACCGACGCCACCCGAGCGGCCGCCGCCGCGGCGCCGCTGGCCGCGCCCTCACCTCCGGCGCGATGTAGTTGGGCGTGCCGACCAGCGAGTGGGCCTCGCAGCGCTGGTGCTCGCGCCGCCGGCGCCGCTCCAGCGGCTTGTTGCCTGCGTGCAGCCGGTTGCTGCAGCGACACTCGTTGTTCCAGTCCTCGGCCAGGTCCATGCTGTCCTGCCGGTTGTGCGCGTTGGCTGCGGGGCGGGCGCGCACGCGTCAGAATCGACTCCAGCGACCGGCGCGGCGCTCCGCCACCCGCGGCCGGGCAGCGCGGACCCGCCAGACCGCCGCGCGGCGGGCCGTGATGCCCCTGCCAGCCCGGACGGCACGGCCGGCTGGGGAGCGCTGACTGGCCCGGCCGACCCGACAGCGCGCACGACACGATCCCTGATCACTGTCATGTACCGCACGACAGCCTCATCTCCTCAGAGCTCCCGAGACCACCGGCTACGCTAAACCGACCCCATATGGGGACAGGCCGCGAGCAGCACACAATGGTAACTCGTTGAGCTGGTCCCCACTGTCGTCGCTCTAACACATCCTAGCTCTAGGTGGTCCACTCCTTTTGCTCTTGGCTAGACAACAACGAGGGCGAGGACGCGCCAGGGCTGCTACACAGCGGAGGGGGGTGAGGGTATCAGACTCTGGCGCGGCTGGACACATCAGCGGACGGCCGTGCGCAGCGCGGACAGCTGCGCGCCGCACCCAGAAGCCCGCGCCCGGACGGCGCACTCACAGCTGTAGTATTTTGAATTGTGCGTCCATCGGAAGCCGGTGCACAGGCCGAAGTCGGTCAGCTTGATGTGGCCCTCGCGGTCGATCAGGATGTTGTCCGGCTTGATGTCGCGGTGGATGAAGCCCATCTTGTGCACGTACTCCAGCGCGCACGTCAGCTCCGTGATGTAGAACCTGCCGCAGACCCGGCCGCGTCACCCAGCGCCGGACAGGGAGGGACTGGCCCCGGTGACGGACGCGCCGGACGGCCCGGTCGAAGCCGCCGCGGCACACAGCCGGCAGGCAAGCCTTCGTGACTTCACAACGTCCACACTCCCGCCACCTGTGGCAGCGCGCCGGCGGCGCAATCGCGACTGTGCGCATCAGGTGGCAGCGCGCCCCAGCCTACTCGCAGGACCCTGCCGCGCCCACCGGCGCCGCGTGTCGGTGCCCGGCTGCCGACGGCGCGGGCGCGCGCTCACCTGGCCAGCGGCTCCTCGAATATGCCGAACTTGATCAGCAGCGACATCAAGTCCCCACCCGGAATGTAGTCCATCACAAAGTAGAGACTATCCTTGTCCTGGAACCGGGCCAGCAGTTAGCACACAACCAACAATCAAGTGTGGGTGAGGGGCGGAGGGCGAAGGGCAGCACACGTGCGGAGGACAGCACGCTTCCAATAGGGCGCACCGCACTTCAATTCAACGAGAGCACCCAACAAAGAACACCACAAAGACGAGACGCCCGTAATGCGTGCCCCTAGAGTCCCAGACACGTAAGGAATGTGTTTTTCATCCATTTGGTATCAATCGAAAACAAGTGCGTGCCACCGAACACAAGATAACTCGGCAATGCAATCTAAACAAGATAACTCGACACCCAACACGAAATATACGCCAGGGGGCACAGCAACGGCGCAGAGACGGCCTGCGCGCCGCTGCGCAAACTCCAGCAGCGTACACCGTCGGCGCTGACCCTAAGTACAAGGGAAGGCATCATCACAGCGGCCGTCGGCTCGCCCAGCAGCCCCCCAGATCCTGCCACTGCACTACCGTGTCCGGGGGCGTATATTCTGTGTCGTCGGCGACCGAACGCGCAGGAAGCTGACTCCCGGTGTCAATCTCGCACGGCGTGAGGCTGGACGCCGCCAGCAACGGCCGGCGCGTCAGCACAGCGTGCGTCCCATCCCCCCTCCCGCCGGCGCAGCTGATCAGCGGTCCGCACACCACCACAGACCACGCGAGAGACGCGCGCTGCGAGCGAGACAAACACCCAGCGCGGTCACACTGCCCCGCCGCCGCCCTCCCGCAGCCCCCAGCGATGACAGCGGACCGCACCGCCAGGTCACCGGCGCGGCACGACGGCCGGCGGCGCCACCCACCTGGAACGAGTAGTAGAGCCGCACCACCCACTCGTTCTCCGCCTCGGCCAGGATGTCTCGCTCCGCCTTCACGTGCGCCACCTGGTTGCGCTTGAGTACGTCGTTCTTGCGCAGCGTCTTCATGGCGTACAGGTGGTTGGTGTCGATCTTTCGGACGAGCGTCACCTCGCCGAAGGCGCCCACGCCGATCACCTTCACCTTCTTGAACATGCGCTTGTTCATCTTGGCACGCTTCAGCCGGATGAAGTTGGACTCCTTCTGGTACAGCATGCGTCGGATCTGGTTGCGCGTCTGGTCGTTCATATTGCTCTTGGACATTTCCGACTCCAGCTGCCGGCGCCGCTGCAGCCGCTGCTCGCACGACTTCTGCACGTTTTCCACGTGCTGTTCCATGTAGAACTTGAAGGCTTGCGGCGAGTAAAGCTTGACCTTGCTGTCGCGGCGCTCCTCCTCACGCTCGCGGCTGATGCGCTTGCGCTCGGGGATCGGCGACTGGTGCGTCATCTTGAAGTCGCCGGCCGCCTCTGGCGCCGGCGCCGGCAACGGCGGCGGTGGCGGCGGCGGCGGCAGGCCGCGGCTGCTCGGCGCGCCCGAGCTGTACCCCGTGTCCTCCGACATGACGAAGCTGACCGGGCTCTGCGGGTGCGACTCCTGCGAGCTGGGGCTGTCGCAGCGCTCGGCCAGCAGCGCCGCCGCCGGCTTGCGCGGCAGCACGGCCGGCGGCCGCTGCGGCGGCAGCGGCGGCGGCGGCGGCGGCGGGCTCTCGTCCGCCTTCTCGTCGGCGTCGAGCGGCTGCGGGAACGGCAGGTCGCCCGTCATGATGGTGTTGGTGATGCTGGCCAGCGGCGTGTTCGAAACGTCCAGCTCACAACAGCCGCCGCCGCCGCTGCCCACCAGGGTCACATCGGCCGCCTCAGCCAGACCGGACGGCGGCGAGCCCAGCTTGGAGGCGGCCAGCGTCTGTTGGTAGGTGGGCGGCTGGCCAGCCGGCAACGGCCCGTCCGCCAGCTGCCGCTTGAGCTGCACCGACTCTGAGTACGTGGGCGGCTGCAGCGGCGGCGGGCTCACCGGGTACGACGGCAGCGCCGGCGCCACCGCCGTCTGCAACACCGGCTTCTGCACGTGCGTCGACTTGACCGATTGCATGATGATGGGCGAGTGCGACTTGGCCTGGAAGGCGGGCAGCGAGTGCAGCACCGAGCCGCGGCCGCCGGCCGACACGGGCGTCGCGCTGCCCGACGAGCACGACACGGGCGAGATGCTGGGGCTCTGGATAGCCGCCAGCCGGTACTCCTGCGTCGGGCTCTGGCGCGTCTGCATGGAGACCGTATAGCTGGGCGGCGGCGGCGGCGGCGGCGGTGTGGCGAGCCGCCCCCCGGCCGGGCCGCTCGGCGTCGCGCCCATCGGGTACGGCGGCGGCGGCGGCGGCGGCTCCAGGCTGAGCGCCTGCATCTGCTGCGTCAGCTGCTGCTGCACCGCCGGCCCGTTGTGCACCACCATCGGCTGCCGGCCCACCGGGCTGGCGCCGCGCTGCGACGACGGCGCCGGCGAGGCGCCCGACACGTTCACGTAGTTGGGCTGCGGGGCGCGCGGCGGCACGGGCGACATGCGGCGCAGCTGCTGCTGCACGCGGCTCGGCAGCTGCGGCGACGGCGGCGCCGGCGGCGGCAGCGAGCGCGGCGGCGGCGGCGGCGGCGGCGGCTCGGCCGCGTACCCGCTGGCGTACTGCAGCCGCGGCGGCAGCGCCGGCGCGCCGCCCGGACTCTCCGAGCGCGTGCTGCCGTTGCTGCTCTCGAGCGCCGGGCTGCCGCGGCTGTACGAGCCGTCGCCGCGCTCGAAGCTGGAGTTGCGCGTCACGCGGCCCCCTGCGGCAGACGGAGCCGGCCCACGTCAGAGGCGCGTGTCGCAGCGGACCGCCGCCGGTATCCGCACACGACAGGGCACGGCGCAGACCACCGAACCGGACAACAGTTCGCGGCAGAGGGCACAACACGACACGGCCAAGGCCACAGGGCATCGCGCCACAGCACGGCGACCTGGAAACCGTCAGATGCAACACGTCCGACAGTGGCCCCGCCGTCGAGTGACAGGCATGCCACTGTACCGCAGACGGACGACAGGCAGACGACAATACGCCGTCAGGGCGGCGGGCCCAACCCGGCCACGATAACACCCGCCCGGCCATCGTGTGAGGCTTGATCGATGCACGCCGTCACAAGTGACAATCTGCAGCGAGCCGTTAGAGGCGGGCTCTACCGCAACCGAGGCACGGATAAACATACACATTCCTGGCGTGGCCGAGTGGCCGGCCGACGGCGCGCGCTACGGGGCGCTACACCCGGCAGACAGGGCGGCTCCGGTGTCCGGGGGGCGCCGCCGTTATGCAAACAGAGCGGCCGCGGGGACGGCGCGGCGTCTATCCCGGCCGACGGCCGCTCCGCCGCCGCCCGGCTCGACCCGCCTGGCGACCGGCCGCGCGGACAAAGCGGGCGCGCGCCGCGTGCACGGCCCACCAAACGTCACCGGCCGGGCGGCGCAGCGGCGCGCGATAGGCCGGATTCCGAGTAAATATTTGGAAGACGTCCAGCCGGCATGTCGGCGCTGCGAGGAATTTCTCCGAGGTCACCGGGGGCCAGGCGACGTCGAAAAACAGCCGGGCGGCCGCCAGGCCCGCCAGCGACGCACCGGCGCGACCCGACGGCTGGCGGCCGAGCGGCGCGGCGACGCCGCATGCCACGCCGGCGTCCGCCCAACGACGCACGCTCGCCCGCCGCGTCCGTACGACCCGCCGGGAGAGCCCAGAGCGGCATCAGCTCCGAGAGCGAGCCGGGCCGGAGAGGACAGGCCGGTGCCGCCTGCACTGGATACAACACCGGACTCGAACGTCCCGGCGTGAGGGACACGTGAGGGCACGCTGTTCAGGGGGCGTATATTCTGCGCCGTCCACAGCGGAACGGGCAGGAAGCTGACTCCCGGTCATAATATGGCGCGTTTGAGAGCGGGACGTCCGCTGACAGCGGACGTCCCAGCGCTCCCAGCGCGCTTAGTCGGCGACACGCGGCGGCGGCGGCACCCCCAGCAACCAGGCGTCAATGCACCACCATACTGAGCACTGGACTCACAGTCACTGCAGTCCAGGCGCGTCGTAAGCCAGCAAGCGAGCCACCCTCCCCCTCCGAAGCACAACCCCACCACACACACACGAGGCAGTCGGGGCTGCCAACACTCCGCTGCTCCGGAGACGTCCGCAGCTCCCGCCGCCGTCGCCTCACTTCCGGCCACTCACCGGTGCTGACGGGCGGGCTGGGCGCGCCGCGCGGCCGCCACAGCGGGCCGGCGCCGTTGATGGAGCGGATCAGCTCGTCCAGGTTGCGCGCGCCCGTGATCCGCAGCAGCTGCGGCTGTGGCAGAGCAGAGGCGGCGCGTCACACGGCGGCGTCGCACACTCGACATGACACATGTACGTGTGTCGTGACCCCCTCCCCCTCCCCCCCCCCGGCGGCGAGCCGTGTCGACGAACAGACCGACAACACGTACACACACATACACACACACTCGGCGGAACACACGTACACTGCACGGAGACAACACTGAGCCAGAGACACCGAGTTGCAGCCAGACGTCGCAAGGCACAGACGCGACAGGCCTGATAACGCTGCAGCATAGCACCCCGGGAAGATGGTGGCCGCACCTACACCCGCGGAAGGGGCCAAGTTCGGGCCACCATAGGGTCGACGCGAAGGCCGGGATAATATGGCCCAGCCAGGGGCGCCGCAGGCAACGATCATATCACCCAGCGCCGTCAGCTCGGAAGCAGGTGAGCCAGACGACAGCCCGTTCCCTCGCAGCGCCGGCGGCGGGCGGAAGGCCATTGCAACACGGCTTACAGGGCGCGGCGGGCGGACACCGACGGCGCGGGCCCGCCGGCCTCGGCGGCTGCCAGCGCGCGGCCGCGCCGCCCTGGCAACACTCGCACATGTGCAGCCGGCCGGGCCAACACCCGCATCGGGCCCGGCCGGGGTCCGGAAGCGCGCCACCTCAGCGCGGCGGCGGCGGCGGCGGAGGCCGTCGGGCCCGACGGACCTGCACCGCGCGCCCGGCCGGCCGCATTCCACCGGCCCGCAGCCGACGCGCCCGGCAGAGACATAAAACACCGGCCGTAAAACAGGCGTAAACGCAGGCGGCGCGCCGCCGCCGGCCGTTCACGTGCGGCCGCCGGCACAAAGACGGCGTCCGAGCGCCGCCACAAAAACGGCCGCCGCCGCTGTCGACCGGCCGCGGCGAGAACGGCGCGGCCGGGACGGCGGCGGCCCGAGCCGACCGACCGCTCGCTGGCGGCGCGCGTCGCACGCGGGCGGGGCCGCCCCGGACGGAACCGATCGGCGGACCGGCTCTGCGGCCCGAGATCGGCCGCTTGATCGCTGCTCTGGGCCCGGCCGCGCCCGGCCTCACTCGTCGGCCCGCTCGTCGACACGGCTTGCCGCCGGGGAGGGGGGGGAATCGACCATCCGCTCACAGATAAAGGGCTCGCATGTGGGGTCGTCAGTTTATATTCTTTCGCGGGGGACCTGTCTGTCGCATCCCAACGTCGGCTTGCATCCACGCGGATCTCCGCTCCGATGTTGGAAAATTTTTACAGGAGCATTACCAACTTACGGAAAACGCTCCGCGCCATACAAAGTCTGGTTCTAGTTCCAGTCATGTCCTTTGCGAGTGGCTTGAGGTGATGACTGGCATGCTACAATTAAAGGATCACTTGAGTGCCACAAACATAAAATGGAAATACTGCCGATGTCAAAATGCAGCGGGCTTAATCCCTCCAGGACCGCATTTGGAGAAAGGTTAGGCTGTCGGGCCTGGAGCTCGGCACTGAACAACAATTCACGAATCGATCACGCAAATCGATGGAACAAATCGATGCCGCTGCTCGTAGGCCATCCACAACAAAACACAGGCAACGCCGTGTTCGTCGGCCCGAGCCACACAGCTGCTGCACGTAAACAGCCAGAGGCAAGGCCGGTGCACGTCCCTGTGGAGGCGCACGGCACGAGACGCACCAGAGGCCCCGCGTCGCCGGAGCTGTCCGGAGTCGACCAGAGGGGAGGTCCTCGTCCTGCCAGCCGGCGGCTGATCTCCGGTCAGACGCAGCCCCCACCATCTCAGCCGTGCACGGCCAGGTCCGAACAGAGCGGCCCGAGGCAGCGCGTCCATTTCAGGTGCCCATGACGCCGCCATACCAAGCGCCGCCAGAGCGTTCCGCCGCCGACCGGCGCCGCGGCGCGGAATGCGACGCGCGCTGCTCACGTCGATTGCCAGATGCGCGGCCGCCCCGGCGGAGACGGCCGCTCGGTTCCGATCCAGATGATGGCGGCCTTGAGCGCCGCCGAATTCCGGCGGTGCGTTCAAGCGCGCGCCGCGCCACAACGGACGTCCGCCGCGCCGGAATGCTGTTCGAACGGCGCGCGCGCGCCCGCTCGCGGCGGGGACAAAGCGGCGCCCGGCGGCGGTGGCCGCGCAGCTGTTCGGACGGCTGTCGCCGCCAACGAACACATTCCACGCGTGCCAGCGGCGGCGGCCTCGACGGCGCATTCGAACGGCCCGCCGCCGCGCAGCCCGGCCGTCGGCAGGGGCCTGTGCAGGGCGGCCGCGACGCGCGCGCGCTCTCTCTCCGCTCTGTCCCGCATACCGCGAACCGCGCTGCGGGGCTCGTCCGGAGCGGCCGCGCCGCGTGCCGCCGCCGCGCGCGCGCGCACACACCGCGGATGCGCCGGCGGCGCGTCCGCGCGGCCGGCCGCGCGTCGTGACGCGCCCATGCAATATGATACAGTACTGGGAAGTCCATTAGGCATTGGCGTTCCGTCTGGCCGGCGTTCCTGAGCTTCCGCCAAGGATGCCCGTTTGCGGCATCGGAGCCGCGGCGGGGGCCGGGGACGTGAGCCTGGCTACCGGCGCTGGGGCGACCTCAGGTCGGCAGGGCGCGGACAACAGGCGCGGGCGCAGCTGTCCACGGGCGCGGACGACCGAGCGCGACGGGAGTGCGGGTCTCCGCCTGGCCGCCGCCAACCGGGCCGCGCTGCGCCGACCCTGCCGTGGCCTAGCGGAGTCGGTCAGCGAGCCCCGCCGTCCCGTGACCTGACCGGAAGCTGCTCACGCTGTCGGCGAGGCGGCGTCCGTCGGCCGGCCGTCTCCGGCGGCCAGCCGGCGGCGCGCCCGTCCGGCGGACGCCGCCCGCGCGTGCGCCGGCCGTGATCGGGCGCTCGGCCGCCGCCACAAAACGGTCGTGTCCCCGATTCCACCGCAGGAATGCGAGCGGCTCCCGCGGCGGCGGCGGCGTGACGTCACAGCCGTCATCGCCGACAACAAAGGCTCGTCGGCGAGTGGGCACGGCGCGTGGCGGGCGCCTCTGCTGATGCTGACCGCGCTCAGCGGTACCTCTGGGACTACGTGTACGGCGCGCCTCGCCGCCCCGCCCGTCCTCCAGCCGCGTCCCCGCCGGGTACGCGCGCGCGCGTGCGTGCCGCCGCCGCCGCCGCCGCCGGCCGCCCTAACGGTGTCAATGCTCGCGCGCGGCGCGCGCGGAATGCGGCGCGACGTTTTACGCAACTTCTGAAATAGCCTCGCGGCAGGGCGGGGCGGCGCGGCGCCGGAGTGGCTGCCGACGGCACGCACCCAGCGCGGCGGTGCTCCGACGCCGTCCGCCCTGCCAGCCGGCCGCCGCGCGGGAGCGGCGCGGGGGGGGGGGAGGGGAGGGGGCGGTCCACACGTGCCACAAGGCCGCCAGCAGCCGCCGGGGGTCCAATTACGGCGTGCAGCGGCCGCCCGCCCGCTGGAGACGGACGCGGCGGCCGTGTATTTCACGGCGGCGCGGCCGACCCCCCGGGCTTCGCGTGCCGCTGCTGCCGAGCACTGACCGGTGGGGGTCGGGATCGGGCCCCCAGCGGCGCCCGTACGCCGGTGGCCAGGCAGCGGTGCGTCGGCCGCGTCGGGCCGGGGTGGGGGCCGCCGCTGCGCGTCACTTTCACTGGTCGCCGTGGCGGTCAGGTCGGCGCCCGCCGGCCCAGCCGCCGCCGACACTTTCACACACGTCTGGAGAGCAGCGGCTGCAGGACACATGTCCGTGGCCGGGGCTACCGATGCCACCGCCGCCGGCAGTAGGAAGACGGCACCGGCGGGGTGCGGGGACGCAGCGGCTCGGAGGCTCCATAGCATGCGAACGCGGGTAAGTATAGCGGTAAAGCCCATATCATGCAGCCTGTGTTTGAGAAAGCGTGTTACCCTGGTGGGTCTGCGCTCTACATCACTGACGCTCTTTGGATCGAAATATCGCACAGAGCAAACCGAGGATGAAAATGCATCAACTCAAAAGAGAAAGCGAGTGAGAGGTAGAGAACTATAGAAATGTTCGCTTCAACAAAGGACTGGTTTCATACCAGAGTGGCAGTGGTCAGAGACAGAACAGAGCCGTTTGCATGTGGGCTCGCCACGGGCAAGTACTACGGCCAGCTCCAGGCACTGAATCAATGGCTGGTCCCAGCAAGTGTCAACAGTCCCGAGTGCCTGCCACCGCGATGACCTTAGCAGCTGCACGCGCCCGCAGATAAACAATCTACGGCAGCTGCCCTTCTTGGGCGACATTCCAACGAAAGGTAGGGAGCTTCCTTTCCACGAATCACAACGTATTCACCCGCACATTCTGATCAATCAAATGAGCCGGCTCGGCGGCCATTGTTGGAAGCCTGAGGTCGGAACTTCCCCGCGCTCCTCATTCGAGGAATGCGTCCGCTCATGGCCGTTCGCGCAGGCATGTTTAGAAACTGCGTCGAAGATAACTTTGACACACAGGCCGACATGCCCGGAATGATAACATAAATAGTCTCCCGATGTGATGAAACCACTCGAGAAAAAATTCCAATCACGCCCAGACAAGATAATGGCTGGTCAGTTTAGACGAGGAGAGAGGCTCCGCGGTATCAGCGTGGGCGACCTGAGCAAGACTCCAAGCGGGCTGGCGCGGTCGGAAGCGCATCGCAGTCGAAATCGTCAAACCCAGCCTCGGCCTCGCCAGGACATAGGCCAGACTATCCTTTTCGCGACAGCAAGCATATGTTGAAACGCTCACAAAGACCCCCTCAGGCGTCAACAAAAACTTGACGATTCACAACAGCCACCGGGAGCCCCCCTTCCCCCCCCCCCCCCCCGGCCGTCCGGTACCCGGACAGACGGTGCAGTGCGGCGAGTCGCACCCCGCGCCGGTCACGGCCCGGGCCGAGCCGAGCCGTCCGCAACAGCCGCCGCAGCAGTCGCCGTCCCCCACCGGCAGCTGGCGGCGCGCGTCCCAGCTGACGTCCCGGCCCCCTCCCCCCGCAGGAATGCGGAGGGGGCGCTGACGCCGCGCCGGCGGCCGGCACGAGCCGCCGCGCCGCCGCGGCCGCCCCGGTCACGGTCACCGGCGACGGCCCCACTCCACACTCCGACTCAGAGCTCTCGGGCCGACCCGACCGCCCGATACCCGAGCCGCCGCCTCAACAGCGTCCGAGCCGCACGCAACTCGTGCCGGCCCGGTCAGCACTGTGACCCGCGCGGCGGCTGGTATGCAGGCGAGGGGAGGGGGCGGCCTCGTTCCGCCAGAGACGGGTCGTTTGCGGCCGCAGACGCCGTTACAGTTGTCAGCGGCGCTGTTCAGTTTCACGAGAGTGGCGACCGCTCAGGAAGACGTGGGGGCGGCCGGGCACGTCAAGGTCTCGGTCGGCGGCCCGACAGCGGGCGGCCGGCGGTCCAGAGCGGCGGCGGGCGGGGCAGGACACGACTACCCGGCTGCGCACATCGCAGCAGCAACCCTACCCGGTCCTGGTCCTCCAGTTCTCCGCTCCTGCCGCTGACCACACCCCGATGGCAGGCACCAGCGCCAGGCGCTGCACGCGCCGGCACCGCCCGGCACGAGCGGCCGGCGTAGCGGCGACTGTGCGAGCGGCCGATGGCCAGAGGCGACGCACCGGCCACGTCCTGCCGCCCGCCGCCGCCCTCACCACCGCGCATCTCCAGCCGGCGGCGGCGCTGCGGCGCCCGGCGACACGCAGCCAGCCCCCTCCCCCAGCCGTCATCAGCCGCGGCCCGAATGGTTCTGTTTGCGTCGGCAGGCCTACAGCCGGGCCGGCCGGCTCGGCGCAGCCTTGGCTCTGCCCTCACGCACGGCAGGCGGGCGGCCGGCCGGCCGACCGCCGGACTCTGGCCCATCCCGGCCGACCGCCAGGTAATGAGCGCGTGCAGATAGCCGCCGTGCCGGCACTGAGTCACCGGCTCGTCGCTGCTCCGCTACTGATAGTATGGCGCGGGCCGACCGAGTGGCGCTCGGGCCGCGCGACGCCCACATAACGGATAGGGCCACGTATCGCCGAGGCAGCGCTGCCATCCCACGCAAACATAGGTGGAAGCGCGCAACATATTGGGGATCAAACACACAATTTTGGCATTTCCAGTGGTTTTCATTTCCTCTGCGAGGCAACATTTCCCCACGCAAACAACGACAGTGACAGGAGCGCATCTCACGTTTGGACGCATTTTATGTAGTTTGTAAAAAATGACAACATGGAACCTTTGTGGGTCGATGGCGCATGCTAAGTTAAGACGGTTCAGAAAGTACAATTGATCCGAAGATTGACGACGTCCGTCCGGTCGCATCGGATGTTGACGTTTCGCGCTTCCCTTAAGAATATGCCTCTTCTGCCCAACTTCCTGCGCTCAGCGACCTTCAACGACCTTAGCGATCTAGATTTGAGAGTCTACGTGAGCCGCATCTGATGATGATTTGATGTTTCAGGGCGCGTCAACATCAAAGATCACATTGCTCTCATAACGGCTGACTCGAACGGTGCCCCTCCGATCTTCCGCTCCCCTACCGCGCCAAGGCGGGCGGCTGGGTCGGTGCCGAGTTCTGAATACAGCCGCACCAGTCCCACCACAGGCCGAAGCTCAAGGCCCTACACAGGGCCGCACCGGTCCCACTACGGGTCGAGGCTCACGGACCTACACAGAGCCACACCGGTCCCACCACAGGCCGAAGCTCGCGGACCTACACAGGATCGCACCGGTCCCACTACGGGCCGAAGCTCACGGCCCTACACAGGGCCGCACCAGTCCCCCACTGGGCGAAGCTCACGACCCTACACAGGGCCGCACCGGTCCCACTACGGGCCGAAGCTCATGGACCTACACGCGGCCGCGCCGGTCCCACTACGGGCCAAAGCTCACGGACCTACACAGGGCCGCATCGGTCCCACCACAGGCCGAAGCTCACGGACCTACACATGGCCGCGCCCGTCCCACCACGGGCCGAAGCTCACGGACCTACACACGACAGCGCCGGTCCCACCACGGGCCGAGACACGAGAATTGCAGGGGATCCCAGCCGCGCCAGCCAATCCCTTTCCGTGACCAGCGTCCCACGCACGGTGTGGCCAGCAGCCAACGCGCCAGTGGCCGGGAAAGGACGGAGTCCGGCACGTCCACCTGCCGATGTCCCAGACAACGGCGTCTCGGCCAACGGCGACGCCTCGCTGGTTTCTGCGGACTGGTGACAGCTCGGACACCAGCAGGGGAGACCCAACCGGGGTAGATCGGCACGTGCCACCCCGAATGGCCGCGCCCGAATGCTCGACGTCTGGTAAAGCCGACCAGGTCATCTCGAACATTCGGCGTGTATAAGATTTTCTCAAGGAGCGGGCACGTCATAACGAAAGGAGCACAATCCAACGTTATCCGTGAACAAATTTAAGACAAAATGCCAACAAGCCATCAAACGATATTACATGCCTGCGAGACGGCTCAGGAGAAGGTTTTTCACCCCCCCCCCCCCCTCCCCCCCCCACAGTCACACTTCCCCACATACGCCGCTGGTTATGACGTCACAAAAGCGTGTTGCGCACACGACCACACGAGCCGCGGTCCCAGCAGGCCGAGCGGCCGGCCGGTCCAGACTGACCTCGTCGTGGCCCAGCTGCGTCAGCTGATGCAGCAGCTCCTGGCGGCTGCGGCCGGCGCCGCCGCTGCCGCACGCGAACGGCATCAGCGAGCGCCGGATCTCCACCAGCGCCTTATGGTGGTAGTTGGAGCGCTTGGAGCGCGGGTCGCCGGGCGGCAGCGGCGCCGCCGGCCGCGGCTCGCCCGGCGACTCGGGCTCGGGCGCCGGCCGCCGCCCGGACGGCCGGCCGGCCCCGCCCACAGCCACGCCCTTGGGCTGCAACGGCAGACGGTGTCAGAGCGGGCGCCGAGCCACGCATGGCCGCGCCGCGACCGCGCGGCGGCGCCGGCCGTGACGACGGCACAAGAGAACGCGGCCACGTGGGAGCGCAGTCAAAAGTTATAGCTACAGCGTCCATCATAACAGCACAAGAACTCAGTATGCCTTAAGAGCGCACAACTAGTTTGATGAAGCTCTTCAACAACATTGTGCACACAACGAAGAGGACAACACGAAGCGCAAATACAAAAGCAACGGTGGTGAAAAGATTAACACATGCCTGACGAAGCGCGTCGCAGCTCAAGCAGTTCATGGAACATGTCCGCGATTGTGCACACAACTGGGAATAACGTTGTCAGAGGGGACGGAAACCGCTTATGTACACAGGCTCTCGAAAGCGCGTATCGCGTGTTCTGCGCGATACTGACGCGTTTCCTGTAACGAGCCCCGACAATTCCTCTGCGGGTCCAAGCACGGGATGCCGACCACGTGATTCACGACCGCCGCCGATTGACTGTGACTCAGGGGTGACGACCGCCTATGGCCACGCAGCCCCGCCGCGCTCCCGCCAGCGGCGGCAGCAGCCACCACCACACTCGAACGGGCATCCCAGCACGTAACAAACGGGATCAGGGCGGTGTGGATGTGTGGCCAGAGCGGAATCAACTGCAACGACGTCCAGCAGGGATGCCAGAGTCATAGGGCTTGCCAACTGCACATCGCCAAGCGGCTCCGGCAGGGATAAAAAAACGCGGTCGCCCATCTGCGTTCCAGAAAAAGTGACACCTTTGAGGCTTACGGATAGGACCAGAAAAATAATGAAATGTGTGGCGTGATGTTGAGTCGAACTTTACATCAGCCCCGAAAGAGCTCGCTCGCCTGGGAATACCACACCAACGCCGATCCCCGCACGCCGCCTCCCATCGGCGCCGCTTGACGCCCCGTGAGCCCACGTTCCAGGCCTCTCGAGGGCAGCCCAGTGACTTTGGGACGCACAGTCAGTGATCAGCGCGGGTGGGTACACCGGCCGCGGGCGCGGGCGCGGGCGCAGGGGCATCGGCGCTGCGTGCGCGCTCACCTGGAGCGGGGGCGGCGGCGGATCGGCGCCACCGTCGGCGCCAGCGTCGCCGCCGAGCGGCAGCGGGGCCGGGTACGGCAGCGGCTCACCGTCCTTGCCACTCATGTGGACGCCACATCACACATGGATCACATGCTAGCGCCGCCCAGCCATCGCCGGCCGGCCGCGTCCAGACGGCCTCCGCGCGGCGTCAGCAGCGGCCGACGCTCCACCTGCGCGCACACAGAACACACGGTGAGCGGGACGAAAGCGGCGCACGCGCAACACAGACACGCCAGGCGCTCCGGCCTGTGGGCGCCGGGTATGCGGGAGGATCTGCACGTGCCGGTGTCGGCGAGATCAAAGCGCGCCGGCCGGCGATCAGCTGATGAGGGCGGACGCCGATTCCGGGACGGCGCGGCAGCTGGCGCTTCGGGAAAGCTCGGAGGCGTTACCGGGGACGGCGCCGCCGGTGCCGGAGGCGGCCGGCTCCCTCCCGCCCCCTACCCAAACGCGCCGGTGGCGGACAGCACGGCGAATCACGCCGGACGGTGCGGGCTCGGCCTGCTGCGGCCGGCAGACGGACACCGGAGGGCTTCGCGGCGGCCCCGTCTCCGACAGCACGCAGCCAGGGACTCCAGCCGTCGCCCCCCGCGCGGCTTGCTCGGTGACCGCACGGCTGACCGCACGGCTGGCCGGCGGCCGGCCGTCGGCACGGCCGGCCGGCAGCCGCCGGCAGCCCTGTTTTGGCAGCTGTCGGCCGCCCAGCCGGCCGCCGACGCCGGTATGCGGCCGGTCAAACAGCCGAGGCAGCCGCCGGCGGCGCAGCACCCGCGGCTCCGACAGAGCCGCGCGTCGGGCGACCGCGCCGCCGCCCACCCGGTCAGTGACGTGCCATGGGACTCCCAATCCGCCACACATGCACCGACGCACACCTTATTCATATACACACACACACACACACACACACACATATATATATATATATATATATATATATATATATATATATATATATATATATATATGTGCATATATATGAGCAGAACCCTCCATTAACACCTGCGGAAGTACGGCTAATTTAGCTGGCGATCCGGGCCCATGTCCGACGGTTGGGATACAATATATAGGACAAAAGCCCGAGGTCAGGACACTGGCCAACATTTCGGTGTCATGGCTCAACGGAGTTGCTTCAACTCTCAGATCGAGGAGTTCGAAGGGCAGCTAGAGTAGACATGAGCCACAGCAGCGAACTGACGCAAACATTGACTGGTTAGCTAATACCAAACTTGGTTTGAAATACCCGGCCGTTTTAACGCACAAATATTCGCTCAAAGGAAAGTTGCAACATTCCCGCTTTTCGAACACAAATTCATGATAAATAAGCGGTGTTTAGAAAGTCGATCACAGCCTGTCTCAATGACGCCTGTTCAGCATTGGTGATTTAACTTTTAAATAGTTGCTTCGAATGTGTCTCAAATGCGTCTGCATGGTGCTGATGTGATTGAATACATTATTATCTGAAAGCTCTTATGTTGAGTTAATGGCCATTAAGACACCAGGAGATACTGGTTTAACGACGCGGTAGTGCTAAATAGCGATTATATTAACGGCACTCAATATCTCGAGTTTTGCTCACGGTCAACAGTGTGCTCATCGGGCTGTGCTCGAAACCTCGTTACCCTCAAACTGCTCCAAATATCCACTACCATCAATAGAATGGCCATTTAGCCCTATAACATCGTTTTACCACCAGCACCTCCTGACATACTGGAAGCTGTTGACTCGACACCAAACTTTCAACTTGTAATGTTGAAAATCCACCACAAGCTGAAAGCCTTACTTTCTGATATCAAGCAATACAAGAAGGCCATCTTGAGCACATCTCGCACATGCTTAACACTGTTCCATGGGCATCAACTGTCTCCTTAGAATTGGATGCAAACATTTTACCAATGCAGGTGGTTAATTGCAAAGGATGAACCTGGTTCTGCTTGAAATTGGCTGAACAGGTAAAAGGAGTATGCATATGGCACATCACTTCTGACAGAGTAATCATCAGATCCCCAGTTACATATGTACACAGATGTGCAGTATTAGATTGGTACAGGATTAGACAGTACCAATGTGTGGGACAACAAAACCAACATCTATGTCACAAAAGTCTGGATGAAGGACATGCCAAAAACAAACAAAAAGTGTCTGGGGGCTCACCAAGGCAACCAATGATGTTACCATAAACATTACGGCATGGCTGTTGAAGCAAGTAATGAATGACATATAAATGAATCTAATTTTGAAATGAGTGTGAACCTTGTTTGCTGTTGATGTCAAGCACATAGAAAACTGAACATGCAACATGTGCAAAAGCATATTAAAAATGCATGCAAAGATGATACATCAAGCCATAGTCTCATTGAACATAGCAATATCAACTAGCACCAAAACTAGGAACAAAACATGACAGTTTGTCATCATCATTTCCCACCAAACTCATCACTGATTGCATTTTGCCCAGCTACCACAAAACTGTGTAAACAAATTATGCTTCCTTACATGTATTCCTCCATAACATGGAAAATAAAGTGTTACTAGCATAATGTTGATGGAATTTTGCCAATGCATTGGTGGGAAAACTGGTTCCATCACCAAGCTTACCTTTTATTAGATACTACATTTCAACACTGCTGCACACTTGTTTTTGATAGACAATTAAACTTGGCTCCCACCACACATAATTCATGAACCTCAAAAACCAAGTTATGTGAACAATGAATGGCATGAAAAACAGACTTAAAAATTAACCCCAGGCAAGATGTCTATATGGCACTGAGGTGTTGTCAAGGGCTGGGCATAATGCAGGACAGACCATATCATTGAAGGAAAATTCATTCCAAATGAGCACTCATATGCACAGAGGAGGATGCTTCCACAGCTGTAATGAAACCATCTGCAATCCAGACACTACAACTCTGCTGACACACACCTGCACATCAGAACAATGGCCACAACATTTACTCTCTGGATTGTTCAAAAGATGTACAATGGTCTAATGCTCACAAGCCAGGAATAACTGGCAAACCACAGCATGCCACATAAATTTGACAAAAAGCATTGTTGCTGGACAACTATGGCAAGTTTTACAAAACTGCTGATGTAGTGGTTCTTCGGCATGAACGAGTGGACACTAAGAATAAGAACACCAAGTTACAGCTATGAATGACATCAATAGTGATGCCTCACACTTTGACTGCACTTTTAGTGAGCAACTTTGACTCTAAAGTGGCTGTCAGCACCACTAAAAATAGCTACAGATACTAATTGGCATGTAAAAAGGGAAAATAACTTAACATTGATGTCAGTTTAAGTTATACATTTTGTGGCAATGTGACAAGGCAATTATTTCTTCCCAGTTTTGAATCCAAGACCAGTCAAATCATATGAGCATTTGCTGATAACAGGATCTGATATAAAGTTCTTACCATCACCATCCCACAAATATGAACACAACCTAAGAATGTGAAAATACTAATTGATCTTAAGAGGTCAACTCTTATGTGGCCAGGAAATTCACTGGGTTAATTGGTGCACATCTTGGTTGGTGCCAAGGTATTCACAAGGAGAGGAAGGTCTGGACTTGGAGGTGATGAAAAAGAGGGAAGTAGTTGTGTCATGCATTTTCACCTGTCCACCCCAGCATCAGCCTTGTGGCTTTGGCCCTAATATAGTCTTCATTTTATGTAAGTTGTTCAGTGCATTGACTTGAAATTGCAAGAGTGGTATATCCTACATTTAAGTTTTCTGTTCCATGGTGTCCAAACCTAGCATTAATTCCCCATTTGTTTTGGCCCAATTACCAAGCCACCATCAGAAACCAGACATCTAAGCATGATTTCTACTTACTAGTCATCAACCCATTTGCCAGCCATGCATGGGTTAGTTATCTAGTGCCCCATGAAGCCACAGTGACTTGGAATTGTAAGAATGGTACAGCCTAGGCCAAGTTTTCTGCTGCATGGTGTCCAAGCCTAGCATCAAGTAGCTGCAGTCCATCACTGATGCCTTGCAAAGCATTGAGAACTCCAGTGGTCACATCAGCATTCATGAACTCTGGCCACACATGAGGTTCAAAGACAAGTTCTCCATATTAGGGGCAACAGCTAATAACTGCTCAAGCCATTGTGCCTCAAATTATCCATTATACTTAGCCCATCTCAGCTGAATAAAGCAGAATAGCAAACAATCCAGTCAATTTT